TCAATTTCAGTCCTTTTTTATGTTCCATTTATGGACATTATGTTTTTCGGTTTGTGCGTCCGTTCGTTCTTCCGTTCATCAGTCTGTTCCGCTTCAGGTTAATGTTTTTGGTCAAGGTAGTTTTTGATGAAGTTGGAGTCCAATCAACTTGAAACTCAGTACACATGTTCCATATGATAATATTATGATCTTTCTAATTTTAATGCCAAGTTAAAATTCTGACCGCAAATTCACGGTCCACTGGACATAGAAAATGATAGTGCGAGTGGGGCATTCATGTACTATAGACACATTCTTGTTCAAATCCTCTATTAAAGAAGTTAGTAAATTTATTTCAGATAAAAATACTTAATTAGACGAACCAATCTAATTAATTTACAAGATATATCTCTGATTTCGTTATACTTATATGTATGAGCACGTTAATATATGTATGAATTTTAATAAGATTACTGGACAAACGCGTTCAATCTTCGGATTTAATTCTTAACAATTTTTTCCGAGCGGAGCGAGGCGAAAAACATTGACGTCTTCTAAGCCAAATTTTATATGTTTGCTATACACACAAATTTATTTTCTAAACTTGGTAAATATTAATCTAAATACAGTCCTAGATAATCAAATAATCATGAAATATTTGGTCTAGTAATCAAATAATCACACACAAAAAAAAGCCAAGTAATCACATAATCAAAGACTCCACGAGGAGGCTCATTAAAGATGACATATTTTGGTATCAATATTGATTCACTTATAGGGTTTTTGCATCAGGTAATAACCACATTAATTCTAAAACCAGTTGTTGGCATTATACGAGTCATTTTCTTCTCATATATTAAATGACGGTATGATACTAAACCCCTCACAGGAGGGATTGTGCTTGATTTTCATGTGATGAAGACATAATCTTTCAATCGGTTTAATTGAGGTCTGGAGCTGGCATGTCAGTTACTGCTAGTAATCCTTTGTTAAGTTATGAATCATTGTCATTTTGCTTAGTTTCTTTTGTTACCTATTCTGACATCGGACTCGGACTTCTTTTAAACTGAGTTTTACTGTGCGTATTGCTGTGTGTTTGTTTACTCTACATTGGCTAGCTGTAGTGGTATAGGGGGATGGATGAGATCTCACAAAACATGTTTAACCCCACCGCATTTTTTGCGCCTGTCCCAAGTCAGGAGACTCTGGCCTTTGTTAGTCTTGTATGGTTTTTTTTAATTTTTAGTTTAGTGTGACGTCCATTCATTTGGTGGCCTTCGTCTGTTTTCTGCTCTTTGGTTTGGTTGTTGTCTCTTTGCCACATTCTTCATTTCCATTCTCAGTCTTAATTAATTTATTATTTCACCAATTAACTTTACATTATTTTTTGCCTTTGTATTAAATTAATTTGTAAACTTCTTGGAACTCTCCAATGACCGTCTGATTTCAATTAGACACGCAAGAATGTGACATATGAAAACTTATTTGGCCTTCAATGCTTCAACCTTTTTTAATGTGGGTATCTACTTTGTTCATTAATTATATAAATGCAATAGAAATCGCTTTCAATATATCACACAGCGCTTTACATTTTAAATAGTCAACACTTTTGAGTGTATATAGAATCGTAAATAATTATGAAATTATTTTAAATGTTAACAAAATTGCACTATTGTGTGAAATAGCTTTCCATATTCTCGGTATCCTGTCAAATAGTTCATGAAAAGTAACTACTATTGTTCTGCATTAGAAGAAAAGAAAGTTTCACTCGTGCTTTAACTTTTTTTTGCCACACAAAACTGTTTTACTGTTTCTACTTGTGAACCCGTGGATTTCGCTTACTTATGATTTCACGAAAGGTTTATTTTTTGTACTCAAAGTATGGTGGACAAGGACATTATTTATTAGCTTTAAAAAAAAATAATCCGTGCTATACCTAAACTAGGAATTTTGATCAAGTATGCGCTAGATCTCTAGCTTACGTTTGCACCTAGTGCGGACAAAAGTATTGCCGTAGAATTTTTTTTATTATCTTTTCGGGAAGGGTTGGGTAGGGTATCCGACCTCAACTTTGGACCTACTTTAGAAAAAAAACTAAGCCGAACAGCACCCTTGATTTTTTCTACTGTTAACCTCAGCTACCCAGCTTCCCTTTGCACCTAGTGCGGACAAAAGTATTGCCGTAGACATTTTTAGCTCACCTGGCCCAAAGTGCCAGGTGAGCTTTTCTCATCACTTGGCGTCCGTCGTCCGTCGTCCGTCGTCCTGCGTCCGTCGTCCGTAAACTTTTACAAAAATCTTCTCCTCTGAAACTACTGGGCCAAATTTGACCAAACTTAGCCACAATCATCATTGGGATATCTAGTTTAAAAAATGTGTCCGGTGACCCGGCCAACCAACCAAGATGGCCGCTATGGCTAAAAATAGAACATAGGGGTAAAATGTAAATTTTGGCTTATATCTCTGAAACCAAAGCATTTAGAGCAAATTTGACATTGAGAAAAATTGTTTATCAGGTCAAGATCTATCTGCCCTGAAATTTTCAGATGAATCTGACAACCCGTTGTTGGGTTGCTGCCCCTGAATTGGTAATTTTAAGGAAATTTTGCCGTTTTTGGTTATTATCGTGAATATTATTATAGATAGAGATAAACTGTAAACAGCAATAATGTTCAGCAAAGTAAGATCTACAAATAAGTCAAACTGACCAAAATGGTCAGTTGACCCTTTAAGGAGTTATTGCCCTTTATAATCAATTTTTAACCATTTTTCGTAAATTTTTGTAATCTTTTACAAAAATCTTTTCCTTTGAAACTACTAAGACAAATTTAACCAAACTTGTCAACAATCATCATTAGGGTATCTAGTTTAAAAAATGTGTCCGATGACCCTGCCCGCGAACCAAGATGGCCGACATGGCTAAAAAATAGTACATAGGGTAAAATGCAGTTTTTGGCTCATATCTCTAAAACCAAAGCATTTAGAGCAAATCAGACAAGGATAAAATTGTTCATTAGGTCAAAATCTATCTGCCCTGAAATTTTCAGACCAATCAGGCAACACGTTGTTGGGTTGCTGCCCCTGAATTGGTAATTTTAAGAAAATTTTGCTGCTTTTGCTGCAAAATTGTCAGTTGACCCTTTCAGGAGTTATTGCCCTTTATAGTCTATTTTTTACAATTTTCATAAATTTTGTAAATTTTTGTAAATTTTTACAAAATATTTTCTACTGAAACTACTGGGCCAAGTTCATTATAGATAGAGATAATTGTAAGCAGCAAGAATGTTCAGTAAAGTAAGATCTACAAACACATCACCATCACCAAAACACAATTTTGTCATGAATCCATCTGTGTCCTTTGTTCAATATGCACATAAACCAAGGTGAGCGACACAGGCTCTTTAGAGCCTCTAGTTTTATTAACTTTTCGGTAATGGTGTGGTAGGGTGGGTAGCTGAGGTCTACTTGAGAAAAAATCCAGGGTGATGTTCGGCTTAGTCTTTTTTTATAATGTAATAAGCTGGCAAATTATGAAAGCTCACGTCTTAATTGATAGGCATAGAAATAAAAAGAAAACGTATGATAACCAATAACAATCTACCGGAGACAAAATAACGTTGGTTTAGGCAACTAGTACAATGGTCTGGATGCGGGGTTCTTCATTTTTGTATTCTTTGATATGTTATACCATTTTTCTCTATTCTTTAAATAGTGTTTTAGGCCATATATCTCTATTCTTTATTTCTTTTTACTTTTTGCCAATTATTTTGTTCTGTTCATATTTAAACACCTCATTATTCTATTTTTTTATGTCTTGTTTCATTGTCTCTTTTATATATATTTTTTGCCCACTATTCTCTATTCCGTAAACCCCCATCCACACCCTCCAGTTAAGGTCACCATATATCTTTCACAAATAAGCAAAACTAATACCGAATTGGCTCCAAATGGCAAAATGATTGAATGCTAAACCCGGTTTGAATTGTGAAATTGCGCAAATTTGTTTTTGAATCAATTGATCAAGCAAAACACATTATCGTCCTGAATGTTCGTATAATACTGGCAGATGGACCTTCGTCATCAATTCTAATCATCTTAGATCAACCTTTCTAAACTTAAAAGTAAAGATCACGAACCCTTATTGTTCAGATTGATAAAAACTTTTACATCCGTCGACATTAACTTCGATTTAAATACTATAGATCTGATAACCGCTGTGCATGTATACTTTAAGGACTGGGCTAGTTTTCTTATCAATTTAAAAAGTAGTAACCTGAGGTCCTCCCTTGTTAATGTGATGTTGTAATCAATCTGTCTATTTGTACCATACTTACATAATATTATATTGTACAATTTAAATTTATGATTCGTTTAATATTTAAATATAATATTTTTTTTTAGTAAATATATCAACAAGGTAATTTGAAAGGCTTTGATTCATTTATCACCGTAGTTCAATTCATTAGTCAGGCGGTCTATTTTGTCTAAATTATGTTGAAAGAACACCGGGGTGTTTACATTGACATTATTTACTATCAATGACTGTGAAACAAGAAAGGAAAACATTGTACATTATAAAACGAGAATAATTTAAATTACATTCAAAATTCATCTTTAGTGAAATCAAAAAAGAAAAACGGAAACACTTTTTATTTTCATTTTGGTTTTAGAGAAATCAAAAACAAAAAATGAAAACACTTTCGTTTTCCGTTTTGGTTTTTTGAGAAATCAAAAACGAAAAATGAAAACACTCTCGTTTTTTGTTTTTTGTTTTTGATATTTCAAAATGAAAAACGAATAGACGCTAATATACACGGACCATTCAGTCTGTTTAGTTTATATTTCAGTATAAATTTAAAGTTGTATTAGATGTAATTATACCTTAAATCGTGGTAATTTAGTATTTTGTAGAACCTTTTTATCTTCATATGATTTACACATAATTTATCTACTATGATATAGATCACATCTATCGATTTCAATAACGTCATTTAATGTAACTTCGTGTATTACGAATATAGGTCTTGTAATAGAGAAATTAGGACCAAAAGCCCCACGTATTGTTAGAATATATGGAACTGCAATTGAACAACTAAGCTTCCCAATTCCTGGAAGGGCAAGTGTAACCAGGCGCAACATATCCGATGCTAAAGCAGATCCCTACCTGGTTGAACATTGTGTTGTTTTACATTATTTGATCCGTCAAGAGGGAAAACCATATGCCGCACGTTTAAAGGAACTAGATGAACAATTTGCCGACGATGTCAGTATGCTAGAAGAAATTGATGAACGAAATAGGGAGCCTTTAAAAACAACTGTTGAAATGATTAAGGAATACAAAGATATCCAGAGTAAAGCAACAAAGGAAGAGCTACCAAAATATGACGTCATATTTTGTACAACTTCACTGGTAGCAAACCCAAAGGTTCTGAAAGCTACAAAAGACAGAGTTTACCAGCTTATAATTGATGAGAGTGGAATGTGTTCTGAACCTGCAACAATAGTTCCTATAATAGCAACATCTGCGAAACAAGTTGTTCTTATTGGTGACCATAAACAGTTGCGTCCGATTATTAAATGTAAAGAAGCAGCAAAACTTGGATTAGAAACCTCGCTTTTTGAAAGATATTCAGGAAATATCCTATACAAAACCATGCTACAAGAACAGTACAGAATGGTACGTTATTTGTATAAATGTTGATCCAAGACATTTGGAAGCGTACTTGTAAACAAAAATTAAAAGATCCAATATTTTTGTTTTTTAAACTTTAACTTCTTTTCTTTTTTTAAATTTTTGACAAGAATCGTCATTTTCCTTAAAACGTTTATATTGTTTGCCGATTGAAGAAAAGAAATTATGTCAACAAATATTAAAATGACGTGTTTACGTCAAATTATGTCACATTCCCGATTGTGAAAATTTGACTGAATGTGGATTTGCATAGCATGCATGCATAGTAGAAGAGAAACGGACTATACCGAAAGGATATTCATACTCATTAGTCGAAAACAAATTTACACTGCCATGGCAAAAAACAAGAAAATACCAAAAGACAAAACACATAGGAGACATATATCCTGTCGAAGCACTGGTCTCGGTCCTTTTGGAGTTCATTGCATTCAGTTTTTGTTATTTACCTTGATTTTTTTCTTAATCGATTTATGAGATTTGAACATCGGCAAAGTACCGTTGCTTATATTTACACTGGAATAGACCTTTAAGTATTTTAAAGTAAAACGATATTTAAAAATTTAATTGCAATTGTGTAAAAAAATTTGAACTAGAAAGAGATGCATGTAAAAATCAATAAGAGCAAGCAAGCAATTGTGTACTATGCGGAATCGTAGAATCAAAGAGACAATTAACCATCATCCATTAGATAGGCCAGGACAAACAACATATAAGTAAAAAAAAAACTATTAAAATTGTTCGAATGAGCAGTATGTTATGACACCTTGTATATTCATTGAATATTCTTATTTTTGAAGACAATTCTGCACTTTAAATGTACTAGATATCTACGTGATATAAATACATAAATCAAAATTCATTCTGATAATTGTATACGATAAATACTATATGCAATTGGCATATTTGAATGCTTTGTTTTTTACAGCATCCAAAAATATGCGAATTCCCGTCAAAACACTTTTATGATGGTGAATTAAAAACTCATCCTGGGGTCGGAACATCGTATCAACCATTGCAAATGTGGCCACGTACGATCAATGAACATTGTCCACATGTATTTTGTCACGTTGAAGGAGATGAAGAGATGTTAACGGTTAAAACCGAGGCAGGAAATGAACAGTCAAGGTTCAACGACGCCGAAGTTAAACAAGTGGTAAGAAATAAATACCCCATTAATCACCATCTTTAAATCAAATTAAATATGGTCGATATCTATACAAGTTTTTCACTCCAACTGGAGGTAGGGGATGTCTAGACCTTACAGTGATTTGAGAGTTTTTGCTCCAAGTTGCAGGCATCAATGTAACTCTGAGACAAAGAACAGCAATTAAAACACTGTTCCTTTGCTTTAAGTTTTTTTTCATGTTCTTATTTTGTGTCATAAATTGATACATCATATGCTTTCTGTTCTGTTATGACAATATATTAATGAATAGCAATTGAAAATGATGAGACTGACGATTATGTGCTTTTTAGCGACAGTCACATATGCACTTTCATTTAACTGTGTTACATATATAAATAATGAGCTATACAAGACTTTGCATACCTTATGTCTACTTCTGGTGTCATATTTCCAATCTGATTTGTGTTTTTCTTAAATAAAATTATCGTATCTTCAAATCAATGTTCATTTTTTCAACATGTTAAACATTTGACACAAACTAGGTGATCATAGCTGGTGACTTTTAGTCATTGTTTAATTCTAGTTATTATAGAAGAGACTTTGTAATTCAAAAGGAAAAACTGAGGTTCTTATTCCGAATTCAAAATTTAAAGTCATATGAAACGGTTTCTTGTAATTTTAATGTTATCGAAATTATTGAACAAATGCATGTAATATACTAAACGAAGTCCTGTATGCACGTTTTTAATTTTTTTTTATTACGAATCTTTAACGTATTATCGACAAATAATATTTCATTTAGTGATTGTTGATAGCAAGCTAATTAACTTTCTAGTTTGTTGCGGAAGTTTCCGGATTGTGACATTGATAAGCAATAAAAAAAAAGCACGTGGAGCACATGACAAATAAGTGAATAGATAGAGCCATGATATTTTTTATATTTTCAATGCGTTCTCATTTGTTTATTAAACCTTTCCTTAACAGTTGTTAAATGATTTGTTGCATGTAATTTGTTCTTTAAGAATCAGTTATTGAGTGCACGTTTGTTTACATTATTTTATCACGGTTTTCCCCTCGCACGTACGTTGTGCGATGGCCGAAGTTTTAACGAGAGGTCACGTAGTAATGTCACTGCATACGGGAAAATATGAAAGAATTAGTGTACGGGAAGAAAATAATTCAATAGCAGTACATTTATGAAGCTTTTGATAATATAAAGGATTTTCTTTTACAAGAAAGTTCACGTACACTTGTTTTATAGTAAAAAAATAGTTATTTAAGTATATAAAACATCTTCAACTTTGAAAAATGTCATGATTTTTCAAACATATTACATTGTAAAAAGAAATTTTTCTTTGCTCATACTAATTAGTATATTCATATGTCAATTTTATATAAGTGATATGCTTAGTAGATATATATATATATATATATATATATATATATATTTGTGTCTAGTGTTACATTGCAGCAAGAGAACACTTTTTATCAAAATACCACTTTTTTAAGTCACCTTAATACCTATTACATGAATGAAATAGTTTTTTTCTTTCAAGTATTATAACTAAAAGAGAATCACAATAAAAAAAAGATTCACACATAGTAAATATCATTTTATTTGTATGAATAACTGTTTTTCTTTGAGCAATATGATTCGATTAAGGCGACAATAGTTTACCGGTGTAAAATTTTGTAAATCGATTAAGAAGAGACAAATCAAGGTTAGGACAAAATTGAGGGAATCGCATACACAACTAAGGGATCGAGGCCTTGTGAGTCGACATTGAAAGTGTCATCCGCCACGCGAATCCATTCTCAGTCAAAATGCCACAGTCGTTAAAATTGCACATCAGACGACTATAATGGTATCAGATCTTAGACAGTGAACACATCACGCCTAGTGAGATGAGTAAGATAATTCATGATCTAAAAGAAATCTTAAAAGGTATTTGTGAATTCTGTTCTTCAGGGGTTCATGCGATTCTTTCAGTTTGTGTTTGTTATCTTGGCTGTGTTCTTAATAGATCTATGAGATTTGAACAGTTGTAAACTACTGTTACTTAATTGATATCTGACTAGTCCCGATAAATGCAATGTATGTGTTTTGTTCTATTGTTTTGTCATGTTAACATTTTTGTGCGTATTAGTTTATAAATTAACTGGACCTTCATATAATTGCTTTTAAGTTAGTTCTATTGTAAAAATGGTAAAAGTCAAATGTTTCAAGGACCAAAGGACGTTTCACTTTCCAAATACAAGGGTTTGGATATATGCTTCTCATATATCTACGGGGTATAGTTGTGTCTTTATATACGCTTGTATAGCCAGATGAATCCCACTTAAACAGTTATCTGACTATGATTGAGGAAACAGTAGCCATTGAGTGAACATTGATACGTTTCAGATGAAAGTTTTTCAACATATGGTAGAAAACGAGAATGTGCCACCTTCAAGCATCAATGTCATGTCTCAGTACAACGCCCAGTGTACAGCATTGAGGGCAGAATCTGTTAACACTGGAATAACACTGCCTATTGTATCAACTGTAGTTGCCAGCCAAGGTGATTATTTCTCATCAGTACTAAGCGATGTTTATTATATATTCCTACTAAACTGTTTAAGTCAAAAAAAAAAATTCTTCTTAGTCATTGTGTAAAATAATGTTTTTAAGCCTGGCATCTTTGATGAGATTTTGTAAAATGTCCAAATACCTTAAATACTAGTAAGTATTTACAATATTTAAAGTAGCATAAAAAAGAAGAATAACTCTATGGTAAATTCAAAAAGGGGAAGTCCATAAAAACTGACAAAATCAAACGTTAGACTTTATCAACGGTAGGAATTGAAAACAGCTGAATTTCCGGACTTAGTACATGCATTTCCGAATAAATGGTGGGTTTAAACTTGGTTTTATAGCTAGCTAAACCTCCCACATGTGTTTATAAGATGTTCTTTGTTAAAGTCATTTCCTCGGTGAATTACAGCTTAGTAGTCAGTTAAAGACTTATCACCGGCTTTGTACTTTCATGAGCAACACCACCGGTGCCACATGGGGAGCAGGATCTGTCTACCCTTCCGAAGCATCTGAGATCACCTCCAGTTTTTTGGTGGGGTTCGTGTTGCTCAGTCTTTAGTTTTCTTTGTTTTGTGTACTGTTGTTTGTTGGTATTTTTTTTTTAGGCATGGCGTTGTAAGTATACTTTCGACTTATGAGTTTGAATGTCCCTTTGGTGTCTTTCGCCACTCTTTTAAAGAGTATTATTTTCAAATTGAAAACAATTTTTTTCAACAAAAACGTGTTTAAAAGTTTCTATAATCAAAGCTCTAGTCTCCTAGGATCCAATTAGGACTTTCTCGGTATCCCTTCCATATCATCTAGCGTGTAGTCGGTTAATAATCACTCACAAATAATTAAAATTTTCGTTTTCCTGGTTGAGATCTTTTAGTATATTCCTTTGTTTTAAATTTAGGATTGTTGACGTTTGAACCAACAGCTCAATCGGTGCATTCCCGTTTTTCATGCAAAATGTATAACAAAAATACCGAACTCCAAGGCAAACTCTAAAAGTGGAAGTCCATAAAAACCGAAAAAATAAACGCTATAAATAGTTAATCAACAGAACCAATGAAAAACTACTGCCATATTCCTGACTTGGTACAGGAATTTTCCGAAGAAAATGGTGGGTTAAACCTGGTTTTATAGCTACCTAACCTCCCATTTGTATAACAGATTTTTTTTGTTCCGTTATATTGACAAAATTGGGTGAGCAACCCAAACATACATAATGTGACCATAATTGTGTATATTGCTTTTCATGATTCAATTTTAGTGTTTCTAAAAAAATAATAATTTGCAAATACATGTACAAGTATTGTAATCACAGAAATAGGTAAAATACAACTCTTATCTGAATGAAATAGAAATGTTATAACAGTGTATAATACAGTGAAAATGTATAATCACTAAGATACACATTACTTGTAAATTTGATAAAAAATGACAGAAACATATTTACTTTCATCTCGCTTAACGTTTCTTATTAAAAACCGAGTCAATAGAATGAAATGCTTTTTAGGTGGAGAATGGGATTATGTTATATTCAGTTTGGTAAGATCTATTCCTAGTTATCGAATACCGAAACAACCAACCAGAGGATGGTGCTTCCAGAATCTCGGATTTATTACCGACAAAAACCAAATTAATGTAGCACTGACGAGGGCCAAAAAAGGACTTGTAATTATAGGTCAGTATCTAATATGATATACTACGTTGTATCGGTTAGTCGTGATTCATTACGTTCACTTTATACTTTCTCATTCGATATATTTGGTAAATTAAATACAAACTCATGTTTTATTTTCCTGAGCAACTTATATATAGCATAAATAGCTTTGGGCATTTGTTTAAGATTACTGACAGTTTTAAAACTTTCAATCTATTGGTCTATTTTTAATGCCCAAAAATTCCTTTTTAAAGTCAAACGGGAAAATATATATTGTAAACATACGGAACCAGCGTAACAAAGCGGTGACGTTAGGTAGCTTTATTTTGGAGGTAATTCATGTCTTAAGATCTTGCTGGTTTTTCCTTTGATAGCCATGGCGTTGTCAGTTTATTTTTTCAACTTATGAGTTTGAAATTCCCTTGAGTATCTTTTTCCTCTCTTTTAAAAACTTTTGCGCGTTAAAAAATCAGAGCGTTGGGCTAAAGCTTAAGTGAATGCAAGCGGCAAAATTACATAAAGATAACTTCACAAGGCCCTCAGAAAATATGTTATCGCATTAAAGAAAAAAAAATCATTTGTACGATTTTAAGATTATTTTCAATTTAAGAAGTAAGTAGAGTAGAATAAAACTAAAACGCAAGCATAGTTTTTGATCTATAGTGTTCAAACGTAATGGTATTAAATGAATGTATTGATATTCCAGGTAACAGAAATTTGCTTGTATGTGACCCAGTATGGAAAGATCTTCTTCACGACTACGAAAAGAAGAATTGTATGTTCATTGGCACGGACTTCCCACCGGCTACATAATCAGCTTCATTCACTATGTTGAAACAAAATGCTGTGTATTATTTAAAAATATTACAGAATAAAGGGAATTTCTTTTGTTTATTGTGGACATTAAACATGATGTTAATATGAAAATAGAAGACCAAATAACACAGAAACTATAGGTCATTATACGGCCTTCAACAATGAGCAAAACCCATACCGCATAGTCAGCTATAAAAGGCCCCGAAATGACAAATGTAAAACAATTTAAACGAGAAAACTAACGGCCTAATTTATGTACAAAATAATGAACGCAAAACAAATATGATACATAGAAACAAACGACAACCACTGAATTACAGGCTCCTGACTTGGGACAGGCACATACAGCATGTGGCGGGGTTAAACATGTTAACGAGCGCTCAACCCTACCCTTAACCTTGGACAGTAGTGTAACAGTACAACATAAGTAGATATAAGAAGATGTGGTATGAGTGCCAATGAAACAACTCTCCATCCAAGTCACAATTTGTAAAAGTAAACCATTATAGGTCAAAGAAAGGTCTTTTACACGGAGCCTTGGCTCACACCGAACAGCAAGCTATAAAGAGCCCCAAAAAATGACTAGTGTAAAACCATTCAAACAGGAAAACCAACGGTCTAATCTATATCAAAAACGAGAAACGAGAAACACTTAGGAACCACATCAACAAACGACAACCACTGAACATCAGGTTCCTGACTTAGGACAGGTACAAACAAATGCAACGGGTTTAAACGTTTTAAAAGGCACCAACCTTCACCCTACCTGAAACAATAGTGTAACATCACAACATAGAAAGACACATAATTAGAACTAACTATAAAAATCAGTTGAAAAAGGCATCAGATGGATACAAATAGAAATACATCAAACAAAAACACAGAGTGGACGTGGCATGGTACTTATACATCCCCACAACAAAAAGACACTAAGTGCAGATCTGAGAGTACTCACAGTTACTGAAAGCTAGCTTAAAGCCAATAACACCTAATAAAAGAATCATGCATCTAAGACTAAAATATCAATCAGTACACATCCAACATCCAATGCATTTAGTGTAAAGACGTCATTAAGAGTCAGAGAAAAACATGACCTTGTGCAATGCCAAGATATAAGTATCGATAGATTGTAGAGCCATGAATGTGCATATGTATATAAAAATTATATTTAGTTTGATTTACTTTACTGATAACAAAATCAAATATGTTTTTATATATGATAATTCTTAAACATGTTGGATATTTTTCCCCTAATCAGACATTTGACAAAAGTAAATTTCATAAGTCTATCAAGAACAACGAAGGGATAGAAATCATATCTGCTTGAAGCTAAAGAAGGCGACGCTCATGCAGCAGCATATCAAATATGAAGATTCAGCATGAGTATAATGAACATTAGAATAATGTTTTAAAGGGAATAATGCATGACAAGGAGGACAGGCCCTAAAATTTTCACTGACACTTAAAATTTAACATCTATGTCAATAAAGAAAAAGAAAATGGCATATAGGCACCCTATAGACAAAGCACATAAGCAAAAATGAAAGACAATATTACATATAAGACAATAGCATTATAACACAATGGCGGGATGTATAAATACAGAGCCATGCAAAAAGGATATTATCAAAAATACACTAATTAGTAAAGGTTAAAAATATACAAAGACAAATAAAAAGAACACTACAAAATGTAATTAAGATGATAAACAACGTCAGTACCTAGAATCTTTATTTCAAGAACATCATGTATTATTTGTGAAGTTGATACGGAATATTTATCAGCAAGGTCTTGGTATCTTCCGATGAACTTTTTTTATAAATATTGTTCATATAATATTTTTATCACTTTCCCACAACAACTGGCTCTAAATTAGGGTTAAAAGGGGGTAAGATAAAAGTAACACCAGTCACACAGAGAACAACTATAAGTTATAGTTTGCTTGCATAGAAATCTAAATTTAAGATATTTATTGATGCAATGCTTAAAATTGCCTAGTAAAGCGCAATAGTTTCTATTAATGCATTGATTATGACAGGTAAGCACCCAATAGATTGTTTACTTCAGGATGGTAATTTTATTATAAACAAGAATTTATATCGCTGTCCCACGTAAGGAGCTTGTTCAACCATGTCCTGTCTGGTTTGTGGACTTTTCGTAAAATCCAACCAACAATGTCAAACACAACGATATGTTATATAATGTCACTTGATTGATCAAGTCAATCATATATGGTATAATAAAAAACCCAATCACTCCTCGGTCGTTTAAAATGCCTTACTAAATTTTGTGGGGTCATTTTGACGAATTCGATTTGAATACGATCTAACGATCTTATATGTTTACAAATATAACGAGTTCGAAAGGCACAAATACGGATAATGGACTCTGTTTAGGGTTCTTAGTGATTTTATTCACACTGCATGTAATTATGAAACCCTACAACATATAAAACAATAATAAATACATAGACAGCACATAACAATATAAAACATAGCTATATATAAAGGGAAATAAATCAAATATGTTCCAATGCACACATAAAGTCTCATAATTGTGATATAGACATGACAGATTAAAATAAATAACCACTACCAATCTCAATGTTAGTGTTCCAACAAATTCATATATATATGCAATACTATGTAGTTTCTAGTAAAATTACATATAAACACTATACAGTTACAAAATAGACAAGACAATCACAAACTAATACATGTAACACATTCCTTATCATATATGTGGTATATAGGTCATGCATGGAACCATCACACAATGAAAGGTAGTGACCGTACCAGTATACCGTCTACTGGAATTCGATATCATAACCTGAATAAAATAAATATTACATTCATAAGTGCACTGGTTTGGGCATTAGGTCCAAGGACACAGTTATCGCCCTTTGGTTTTCGTTGTCTACGAATATAGTCCCTAGTGTGAACAGTGTATAACTTGCATTTTTTTTTATACACTTTCCCAATTTATTTCTTGATATTTTATGCATGAAATATTAAGTAAGGGGATGAAATTACATGTTAAAAAATTTTGGTGCTGAATCTTTATGTTAAGTAGTGATTTGGTCCAGTTAAAAAAATTCAAAAATTAGAATGTCTGAAGCTGTCAAACTGAATTTTAGCCCCCCTTAACACAGAATTGTCAATATTTTGAGTTAGAGCTGGTAGAAGTTTCTATAATTTTGATATTATTTGTATCAATAGTAGTACACTACACTGTAAAAATCTTTTTGAGATAGAGCAGGTGCGATTTTTTTTATTTGAATTTATTGTCTAAAAGAAATGCACTACGAAATAACTGTGTTCTCGGGCCTAAGAGATGGATTCCGTAAATGTAGATTCTGTACTTTGGCAACTTTTCTGAATGGTTTGCTGGTTTCAATTTGTCGAACTCAATAAAAGTAAAGGATTTACATCTTTGTTTGACAGAAATTCTGTTAAAATGTCCCATTTTGGCATTATACGGCTAAAATAAGCATTTTCAAGCAGTTTCCATTTTATGCCTAAGAGCCATGCTGACTTTCTATCTGACAGCTTTTTATGTTCCTGATATTTGTGTTTCTATGCTTAAATCAAATTTAATTAACCATTTGTGAACTCTGAATCTAGAGAAAAGTAGATTATCACAGAAAAAATGTGCAGAATATTTGTATTTATGTCCCTGGTAAAACGGCCTGTTTGATGTATGTGAAATGTGAAGAGCTTTGTACATAAAATCTGTTGTCCATCACAAATATTTCACTAAATCTGTAAAAAAAACACTTTACAATGATCAGTACACCCTATTCATTTCATATGCTACCATAATTTTCTTCTTTAGGATAGTAAGTGGTTCAAATATATGCCAATTGAGACTAAAACTACATGCAAGTTTCCCATTGAAAAGTGAAAAACTGGTCATCAGACCATACTGTCTGCAAAAAAAAGTTGAATTCAAGAGTCCTTTTGCAATAAGACTTCTTGTATCATGACATCTTAGCATAGAAATGAGCAAAAAGTAACAAATTTCCATTTCTTATAGCCTCTGTGTGCATTTTTATATGTAAATATGGGATACGGCCTAAATCGACTCTAAATAATTCTCAGTCTTACATGGCCTAAGACCATTTTATACTCATGTGGTATGCTTTTTGTAACTTTTCCTTACATTTAAAGTACATTTAATGTATATGAAAGAATAATGTATGGTTAAAAAACTTCAAAAACTTCAAATTGGTTGAAAAAAATGCATGTTTATGTAAGGCTTCCCTTAATTCGAAAATCTATATTTTCAGGCACAGGCTCATATAAATTTTACTTTCGAATAATTGTAATAAATCTGATAAATCAAATGAGTGTTCTGTTGCTTTAAATACTTATTATTTTATATTCAAGAGTATTTAAAAAGCAAATTTTTGCAATATTTAAATTTTTTAGGCCAAAATCTTGACAGTTGAAAATATTTGATTTAAACGTCAAAAATAAACATCCAAATTTCAATATTAAAATGGCCCTAGATTCTATAATATATATCCTATGGCCATGAAATTTAGCCAACTATCTTATAATTTCCTATGCTTAGGTCATGCAAAGTTTTATTAAAATTAGTCGTCTTTCTATCCTATTAGGTCCAAGGACACAGTTATCGCCCTTTGGTTTTCGTTGTCTACGAATATAGTCCCTAGTGTGAACAGTGTATAACTTGCATTTTTTTTAATACACTTTCCCAATTTATTTCTTGATATTTTATGCATGAATTCAGGAATTTTCTTTTACAACTTGTTTATAATTGGTGTTTAATTGATAACAAAAAAATAAGTTCCCAAATGAGCCCCGGAAATGTGTCTCCTGATTTGATCTTCAGTAACGTTTTGACGTCATTTAATCTATGACGTCAATGTTAAAGTACACAAACAAAGATCAATAGTCAATTGTCTACAAGGAGTTCGGAATTCAATTTTGTGAACCCATCCAAGCAGCATTATGACGAGATCCAAGCAGTATTATGACGAGGATTGCTGTTTATAATAATGATGACAAATCATTGTTGAAGATGGATTAAAAGTGCCGGATTATTTCAACTTTGTGTCAAAGCAAGGATGAATTATTTCAATAAAGCAAGAAAAACGCAGGTCACGTCTGTCAGTGACAGTGAAAATATAAAAGTTGTGGCAAAACTTTAGACTATCACTGCAGAGGTGATGAACTAAGCAATTCTACTAAGATAAGTCAATGTTCACATCAAACAGTGGTACACCTGTTTTACATATACGTAAGTCATATTGGCAGAAAATACAATATTTATTTGTGCAGCAGCGAGCTTTAGAAACACGAATATTACGGAATCGCTTTTTCATGTTTCATACTCGAGCATCAGCAGATATGTTTATTATCACCTTTTAAAATGTGTTTTTATCCTGTGATGTCGTATAAGTTCAATCATGTACATGATTTTCAAGTGAAATCCAACAATAAATGTTCATCGATTGAACGCGGCGTACACTGAAAGTACCCTATGACTGGTTTACGATTTCTGTTATTGTTGCGCTCATAACGTCATATTTTCTTTCTTTTTGGTATATTCCACCACTATCTGGAGCACCACAAGATATTGGTGTATACAGAAAGCAACGGGATTTTAAAACTTTAAAAACTGCTTGTGTCGCTTGTGTCTTCTGCATGTGCGAGCCAATGTTTATATATCTGCACTACACAGTAGAGTATAGTCATAAAAAGCAATTTGTATATACATAACTCACCACCGATAACGACACACGTTATATATAATATACATTACGTCGCCTTTTGAGTGTCCAGGTGTCACCTCAAGGTCTTTAACACAGTGGAAACCCACATCACGAAGCAACCGCCGACGGTACAGTAAATAAGTAACACCGTTCTATTTCGGCGCACTCCTACATAATAGGATGGCTATATACACCCGCACCCTCTAAAATCTCACACCCACTTAAACATGCAGTTAATCCAACAATCCAGGTGTATATAAAACGATAAAAAATATGTGCACCAAACGATGTTAATTCATATATAAAAACTTAAAAGTAGCTGTATATATATGAATTATGAGTGATGATATAGACTTAGTGCTTATATAAGCTACTTTCAATTTGGTAATTTCAAAATAAAATCAACATGGTAAGCTATTTTATAGTTCAAGGAAAGGGTGTGATCAAAGCCATTATTTGAATCCTGATATATTAAAAGTAATAACATTCTTCAATACTTTAAAAATAATGCAAGTTCTTTTGATAAATGAAGAGATTATATTATCAGTACACTTAAGAACACAACATTCTGCGTTGCTGTCACTTTTAGATACAAACATGTTAAAATTGACATATATTTGACATGAAATAACTGTTTCACACATATTTTTCGCAAAATTAGATGTGCGCCGAAGCCAACTCCTTCCTTAAAATATTTAGTCTTCCAACAAAAGCACCGAAACTTAAAACTTCCATGTTAAATATGGCTCCTTTTCTTTATACCGCTACCTATGGAGTCTTGATGGCATTGGATAATGTATTTATTGTAACATACAAAGCCGGGTGAAGGGGTTAATCATCAAGATCGGGGAGACGGATCTATAAAAGTTTTTCCAAACATGTTTCCGAATCCCATATTTGAATTTCATGTAACATTGTAATACTTTATTGTTGTAATTTTTCATTAATAAATACTGTTTAAACTAAGATCGAAACAGGGAACAATTTCAGTCAGGTAAAGGTCTGTAAATCTATATTTATGACGTAATGACGTTTCTTTCTTCTTCAATTCTATTTTTACTTTCGTTTTCTCAGAATTCAGATCTTTTCGAAATTAGAAACACCTGTAAAAACTGGTTTTAATAGATTGGTTGCAATCAAATTCTTGATTTTGAACACAGAAATGCGAACAATATGGTAAGTTCTGAATTAGTAGTATACATTTTTATGAAATTAGTAGATAATCATGTACACGTAAAACCTTCATTTGACGTGATCTGACTTGGTCTTTGTTCAAAACCTACGAAAAGGCTTTGTATTAAAAATGTATACGTTTTAATCAACATAAAAAGAACCAGTGAAGTGTTTATTAACTATCAATTCGACTAAAGATTAACATATCCTTTTAAAAACACATTATCAAATTACATCATCTTTAAAAATAATCAATCATTTTGTTATGTGTATATATTTTAACTTGATGATAGATTTCCAATGTCGATTCAATCATTCTCAGGAAAACAAAACTCAGTAGTTTTATCAAAATGGCTCCTCTTAATAGTTTGCTATATTTTCTGCAAAGTTGTCTTTCTTTGCACTGATTTCAAGCAGTAAACTCTATATTTTTATCAAAGCAAGCTCCTCTAAATAGTTCACTATATTTGCTGCAACGTTTTGTCTGCTTGCATTTATTTCTAGAAGCTCCGCCTTTTCATCGGAATATCAGATTATACCAATTCATTGCAAAATAGTTGTTCTTGTCTGTAAAAAATAAATGTATTTCGCTTCGAAAGAGGTTTTCTTATAAGAAGGATATATATACCTTTGTCCTTACATTTACCTCTCCTGGTATACCACCCCTTTCATATATATTCTTAGAAATGTACAATAAATTAGGCTGCAGGCAAGGCATTCGTTTCGTACCGACACAAGTAGTTTTATTTCTATCCGAATATGTTCGAAATTATCCAATGTAATTATAAATTAAAGATTCGCTACATACCGTTAATTAAAAAAAATTGACTGAAGAACTTAACTATAAATTTGCGTTGTTTTGTTTTGTTTACGTAGGCACGTTAAGGTAATGGTTAGTTATATATAAATAGGTTTGTGCTGTATTTAGACCCCTCTACCAAGAAATTTGTTTTGCATGCACACGTATAAAAATTGCGGTTTTTATCCAACGCAATCATAGGTTTGAACGTTGTTTTCAATTTAAACTTGTTTATATTTTTTCGTTTGGGCCTGTATTATATTTTCCTTCGGGTTTATATGATCCGTTCATCCTATTTCGACTCTTTAAAATTCAAGAGTCTATCCTAAATTGGGGTAAATTATATGGCCTTCCAAATACCGTTTCGATTCCTAACATCACTGAAGAGACATTAATTGTCGAAATCCGGATATGGTGTACAAATTTTTGCACCTCATGTTTTCGGTCTACCATCTTTTCCGCAAGTTTATTGTTTTCTGTTTGGTAGTAAATTAATAATTAAGATCCATTTGTTACATCTGGTGATACGTTTATTTGGCAATCGCCAATGACAATCAGCAAGGTTTAAGAACATCAGTTGTTCGACCTGTTAGTCAAATGCGCTTTGTTAAAATATACTTTTTACTTTTTTGGTCATTTGGAAATTGTTGTTTGTGCTGTATTATGACCCCTCTACCAAGAAATTTGTTTTGCATGGACACGTATAAAAATTGCGGTTTTTATCCAACGCAATCATAGAATTGAACTTTGTTTTCAATTTAGACTTGTTTATATATATTCAATTTAGACTTGTATATATATATATATATATATAAAATTACTCTAAATATAAGCACAACAATGTTGAATCTGCAAATTTGCGGAAGCAAATTTTTGTTCTTCCCTCGCCAAGATTCGAACTCATGCTATTGGGATATCGAGACAACACCGCCTACACTGTGTCCAGCGCTCAAGACCACTCGGCCACCTAGACTGAATTAAAAATTCAGTTTTCTGTGGCCTAGTGCTACCTTTCCTCGTAAAAAGAATCTAGAGTTGTAACACAGTACATAATATATTCGGCATGCAGATGGAATTGATTGTAGATTAGCTAAGTTATCTGTACTAAAGGGTCGTATGATGCAGTCAGAGAAATAATTATTTTGATAAGAACGTCTAAACAAGTGACAACTCTAGGACAGATCCATCCATTGGATCACCAGTGAAGGTGATACACGGCTGAAAACACATATTATATTCATAATTACTGTAAATATCAGCACAATAATGTTAAATCTGCAAATTTGCGGAAGCAAATTTTTGTTTTTTCCTCGCCCGGACTGAAACTCATGTTATTGGGATATCGAGACAACACCCCTGCACTGTGTCTAGCGCTCTAGACCACTCGGTCACCTAGACTGAACTAAAAATTCAGCTTTCGGTTACCTAGTGTTACCTTTCCTCGTCAGTAGAATCTAGAGTTGTTAACACAGTACATGATATATTAGGCATGAAGATGGAATTGATTGCAGATTAGCTAAATTATTTGAATAATTTACAATGGGTTAGATTATTCCAAATATTTGTAGTTTGATTATAATTTCCTGGCAACATGGATAGAGGAGAAGTGGGTTCTTTGTCAATGAGACAAATTATCACTAGATCTCTACAGGTCAACAATATGTCATCAACAATAGTTATTTGAAATCTTTTAAAAAGTGTTCAATTATCTTGTAAGTTGTTAGTTATTATAAGTAATCGATGTCCTTCCAGGGTAATATTATAAATATACAGCTGTATGAGGGTGCTATTGTATATTATCCATCTAAGAAAAACAGCATTATCCGAGACACAGTTGACGCTGATTTTTGTCTCAAATATACAAACATTGTCAATAAAATCGGGCGCCTGACTATAAGAAACCTCTTGATTTTATAAATTATTTGCGTGACCCGTTGTCACAGTAGCATAAAGGAGGAGATATATTAATAGCCATTATCTGGCCCTGAAATTGCAAATGTAGTTAAATGTTTCAATCCTTAACAACTAATATTACATGTAGTTATATTGATAAATGAATAACATTATTATTTCTGCACTCGTAAGAACAAAAGTGTAGATGTGAGGTCACTACAATTTACACACAGAGTTTTATTTTAGTTCCTTTTTGGTTTATATTTCTTCAACGTTTTCGGTCCTTATACATCATTGGCTTTCAAATATTCGGCCTTGAGCGTTCCTGATGAAGTTAAATCCAGAAAAGCGCTTCGGACGCATGAATTTATAAAGTGTTGTTTTCATTTTTTATATATTTTGTAGCAAAATATTATTCGAGGATAGCTTCAACTCGTAAGAAATCATTTCAAGATGAGGCCGTTTTACAGTTTTTATTTTTACAGATATGCATGACATGTAAGGAGTTTGAACCATAAAGGAAATATGTAAGACACAATAAAAAAACTAATGTCTTTCAAACTATACTTGTTGAACATCTGAAGAATGCTTTTTGACAGATTTGTATCATTTTTTTATTTTCAAAATTAACGGTTGAGGCATACGTACGACATATGTTGTTGTTAAACTTGTTTTGATTAGTAACTGCTTTTTTCCTGCTTTTTAAAACGTTGCCAGGACTAATGCATTCGTGTTGAAATCCATTTAACAACATTGCTGTGTCATTTTTTACATTGATACACCTTGAATGTTCGCAACGTTTTTATACACGCGTCGTAATTGTGTGCACTGTATGTTAAAAAAAAAGGGAATTCACGGCAGTTATTTAGGGTTGTATGGAATTCAGATGCTTGAGGTAGAACGCAAACGTTTTACAGAAAATTATTGTTTCCTGAAGCTGTCTATAATTTATTCTTATAGGACAACCCTAAGTAAAGGTATTTTGCATAGCGAATATTACGAATTGAAATCTAAAAACTATAATTGACATAAAGATTGGGAACAGTTTTATCAGAAAATACACTGCTGATAATATTATAAAAATGCTGGACTTTTTGATCGACAATATATTTATTGAGTTTGGAGGTTTGATATTTCAACAGACAGTCGGTATTCCAATGGGTACTAATTGTGCACCCATACTGATCGATTTGTTTTTGTACTTGTGTGAAGCAGAATTCATTCAGAACCTTTTAAAAGACAAAAAGAAAAAGCACCTTGCGAAATTCTTTAATTTTACTTTTAGCTATATTGATGATGTCCTATCACTGAATAACCCATATTTCAGTCAGTACTTACATCTCATATAAACCAGTAAACTTGAAATTAAGGATACTACTGATACAAGAAGGACTACTTCATACCTTGATCTCAATATTGACGCTGATGGACGACTTCACACTAAAATCTATAACAAACGGGATGATTTTAACTTCCCAATTATCAATTTCCCCTTTCTCAGCAGTAATATACCCTCTGCCGAATCGTATGGTGTTTGCATATCTCAGTTAATACGTTATGCTCGTGCATGTTCACACTATACGGACTTCATGTACAGGAGTGTGCTCCTTACGCAGAAACTGCTCCAACATAGTTATGAGGAGTTAAAAATGACACTACGTAACTTTATGGACACCATCACGAATTGGTTGATCTATACGATGTGTCTGTGTCTAAACTAACTAACGACATTTTTACCACGTCTTAGATTGTGGTTTACCATCTTCCCCGTCTGGTCTGCTAAGTACCGAACTTGACCTATTCCCCAATATGACTGTTTTGCCGAGTGTGAATTCGCATTGCGATACGACGTGTCTCGGTATTTATACATCCAACATTCATGTATCTATGATATTTCTTTTGTAAGTCTGGTTGGATATTGTGTTATGTCTTATCGTTTGTGGTTTGAATTCTGTATTTTCGGTACATTTCACATATGTCTTATTTGTCAGTATAGTCGAATTACCGGTGGTTCGTCTACAGTGCTTTTGATTTATGTTATATACAAGTCTAAATTGAATATATATAATCAAGTGTGTTTACTGTTTGGTCTTACATGATCATGTCTTATATTACAGTTATTTTGTTTTTATTTTATATATGTATGTAAAAGTTAAGATAATTAATCAGCTATTTCATTTATATGATTTTTAGTTTAAAGCAACTATATGCACAGGATTTTTTTGTTTATACACAGTTTTGATTTAGAAGAAAAACCGACAATGTTAGAAAATTCAAATAATAACACCATTACAAACACAATTCCATTTCAATATTCTTGTCATGGTTAGAAAATAAATATAGTAACACCATTACAATTTTAATCTTATATTCTTGTACGTGTATACAATAAAACAAATCTGTTCTATTTTAGAAATTTATCAGTGATAATATAAACGTCACAAAAATACGTCACTTTTTGTGGCGTTGATACATTCGTGTGACGTACAGTTTATAATTCGTTCGTGGTGTCCTGGTGTGCTGTCGTGGATTCATGGGAGGTGTCCGTTGTTATTCTGTGGTTTACATGTTGTAATGTACTATTATATTATTCATTTATGTGTTTCTCTGTCCTGGGTGTTCTTGTGTTTATTTGTACTGTATTCCCGTCACGTAATGTTGTCATTTTAGCGGTATTTTTAACATTGCCATATAAGCGGGAGGTTTGGCTAGCTATAAAACCAGGTTCAACCCACCATTTTTTTCTTAAAATGTCCTGTACCAAGTCAGGAATATGGCAGTTGTTATTAAAAAGTCCGTTTCTATGTATGTTGGTTTGTGTTTGTTGCAGTTCAGTGTTTCTGTTGTTCTGTTGTTTTCCTCTTATAGTTGATGTATTTCCCTCGGTTTTGGTTTTTGACCCGGATTTGTTTTCGCTTAATCGATTTATGACTATTGAACAGCGGTATACTACTGTTGCCTTTGTTTACAGCATCTCCTGTCATCTTTTTTGAAGGGTCCATTTGAATAACTTGAACCATTCTTCGTCTGCTTTTACAATAGTCATAAATCGATTAAGCGAAAACAAATCCGGGTCACAAACCAAAACCGAGTGAAATACACTAAGCTTTTTGGATTTTTTTTTATTGAGGATGTTCAACTATTAATGACAAAAAAAAAAACAAATCTAATCAATGTGTGGTTTCCGATGATCTTAGTAAATCATTGGTTAAGTAAAAAAGTCATTACCTATATCAGCTATCAGGATGAATGAACAGATTTTGGAGAAATTTATAACTACATAAAAGCGGAAAAAGTTCCATTTTTGATCCAGAGATTTTCAGGTGAAGTGTTTGCGCATCAATTTCGTAATTGTATGACGTAGAAATCATGCAGGAATAGAGGCACTCGAAAAGGAGTTTAGTTTATCAAATATGACATTATTTTTATAATCATTAGAGAAACGTTTATCCAATAATAGAAGGGCTTGTGGTTTAAATAGCACTCAAAATTGTTGTTTTTAGAAAGTTTTTTTTCACTGTAAATATATATATTCTTTATTCCGAAAGCAATACAGCTTATAGGTATCAATATTACATTAAATATAGTAAACATCACATAGTACAATTTAGTATTTCATTAATACAATGCTAGAATCTTTATTTACCAAATTGTTATAAAATGGACGATAATCGGCTGAAAATAATAAGACCGAGAAAACCCTTTGTAGGCGGGCGTATGATATTTGCGCCAATTTTGAAAAAAGCATTTTTGTTTCATTTGCGCCTAAATAAAGTTTTCATTTGCGCCAATTATTAATTTTTCATTTGCGCCAATTATTAATTTTTCATTTGCGCCAATTATTAATTTTTCATTTGCGCCAATTATTATTTTTTCATTTGCGCCAATTCAAAATTGAACTGGTAAGATCTGATACTTTTTATATAATTACCATTACTTAATTAACCCAACGTAGAGTATTGTCGTTTTCATCTTGCACAAAACTGGTGGCAAAAAATCGATCAGTTGTGCTTTATGAGGCACCAACCTAATGAAAAGTGTGTTGATTTTGCAGATTATGAACTAAATACATATATGTCTCCTGTTTCGCGTTATCCGCCTATTGTTTGGGCAGCAGCGCCTGTCAAAAATGTAAAAGAATCAACAATGGCCCCGAATCGTTTCACTCGCACTGCAATGAACAGTTCCGAACATTTGCATTTTTATGAATGTCAAAAAGAAAATCCAGGTAACAACTTATGTAAAAAGCAGATCTTTTGAGACGGCAGCAGCAAGAAAAATGTACTATGCTAGTAACAAGTATCGGATGTTTAGTAGAAAATATATCAGAAGGTCACAGGTCATCAGGTGTGTTGCATGCAAATACTCAGCTAGGACAGACTTGTAAATGTGCAAATGTACTTTTGACGTCAAACTGTTACTTATTTATATAAAAAGTGCTATTCTACGTGTGATGTATATATTTTTAGAAACTTTTACAATAAACTTATCCTTCTCGAAATCCCACTTCCACCTCCCCGTGGTGTCCAGGACCTGATGGCAGACAGAAGGGGTATTTTTGTTATTTATACATCGATACATTCTGTACAACTTATATGTCTCATGACTTATGTTTACCTGTAAATTGTAAATGAAAGGGAAAAAAATTAGCGCAAATGAAAAAAAAATATTAGTTCAAATGAAGTGTAGATTGGCGCTAATGCAAAACGCCGTTGTAGGCTAATATTAGTAATTTAAAAACTTCATGAAAAAATGCTAAAATGTAAATTGTAAACGTAGTTTAACCTCAAGTCAATCAAACGTTATTCAGATGATCTATCAGATAATGAAATTTTAGATAAAAAACTGATTTAGTTGAGATAAAAATATAAGTTATCACTCTTACTAAATATAAATTGAATGTAATATGATAATTCAATCTATTGTGTCTTTTAATAAGGATCAAATAAAAGGAGTGGTTAGCATGGCTAAAAGACTGTTTGGTCTTCAAGAAGAAACAAGAGAAAATGAATGGCTAGAGGGAACTAATATACAAGCAGTTGAACAGGTATATATAGTTAAAACCTTGTTAGGCAAAGCACAGATCGAGGAGAGTTCACTTTGTAAATTTTATTAATTCATTTCATGATGTAATTGGATTTTTTCAACGTAGTAAGCTTGCCTTCCGCAAACTTATCTATAAAAAAAAAAGAAATAATTTAGAAAAAAAATAAATCTGAAATTTGAAATATAAAAGCACAAAACAGATACAATATAAAAACCGACCCAAGATTAATGCAACCAGAACACTTATAAAACAAAATCAGGAGTGAACCTACGTACCTCCGCAATGTAAGCAGTGCCTGTTACCCTCCTGTTACATTACCAGAAAACAGACATACGAAATGTCAAAATTGGGAAAAAGTAGACAGGTGGAACATATCATGGTCATCTGTGACACAGATATTTCATTAAGGTTAATTGAAGTGATGACTTTCAATTTAACAGAAGATACACTATTTTCAAATGCTTAATTGTAAAGATACAATGATTGAAAACCCAAACCCTGGAGTAGTGTTTCAATTAGAAGATATAAACTCCATATGCAGTCGTTGCTAGAAACGTTCCTGCACAGGAATGTAATTACACGAACGGTACCAATTTTAGTGCACCAGATGCGCACATCCGATTAAAACCGCTCGCAGAGTAATAAGTTTCACATTAACTTTGAAGGAATGTATCATTTTTGATGAAATGAAAATAACACTATAAAAGTGAGGCAAAAGATATCAAAGATATATTCAAACTCATATTGGTTATTGGTGTCATTCGCTTAAGAATGAGATATCTCTCTTGCTTAAATGCCGGAGAGATTTTCTTATTGTGATCACGATGTTTGTCGTCTGAGACAGCACCTAACAATCCATAAAACAAGAAAAGACATTTTGTTCATGAATTAAAAAAAAAAAAGAAATATAATATTAAATTACGACTGGTTTTAAGAGTTAATTGCATTTCCAGCATTTTTTCCGTATAAAAGTATTAGAGTTTCAACAATTCCTGCTTAAATTTCTAATTTCCACAAACGATCGCGTGCAACTGGTGACACCAAGTTTTATCAAATCAACTTTATTGTTTTCATTTTTACCTATTCAGCTTGTATAAATTTAATCAAAAATTTTCATGCGAGATTGAATTGTTTCTACCCGTGGGAGTTACGAATTTGCTCAATAAGTAAAAGTTTGAATTATCGTCTTTTCAAACATGAATTTTGATTTTGATTTTCATTTTAAGAACTTATGTCTTAAAATGTCGCATGAATATAGAATAAAGAAGATGTCTTGAGATTGGCAATGAGACAACTGTGTCCTTTAAAAGACCAACGGACAAGAATATAAGCAAATATAAAGGTCACCGTACAGACTTCAATGAAGAGCAAAAGTCAAATTCATTGAAATAGCATTTTAGTTTCCTGTTTACTACGCTACCGACACGTAGATCTTTTAACATCCTTTTGCAAAATCTTGTTTCGGATCACATTTCAAAAACAAAATACAAACTGTATAAACGTCAAAAATGTGCTGTTCAAATTGCGGAAGATAAATGCCTGATGCTTTATTCGTTCATTGGTATTAAGACAATTATGTCTGTTGGCTCTTCACATATAACTTAACTCGAATATTTTTTTTTGGTCCTCAATGCTCTTCAACTTCGTACTCTATTTGGCCTTTACTATTTTTTGTCCGAGCGTCACTGTTAAGTCTTTTGTAGACGCGCTTCTGGCTTACAAAAATATTAGCCTGATACATTTAATCAGTTTTTTTATATCATATTTTACTGTGAATAACTAGTAAATAACAACGTACAAACGTTTCGAAAATCATTTTTACATTGATTCTGAAATCAATCAATGTATAACCTAAATTTATTCTTTTGCGATAATCAGCTCTGCCTTTAATCCTTAAAGTGACACAAATAGTCATTGTAAGCATGTCTGTCTAGTACAAACTATTCAAACTAACACATCTGTTGAATGGGCAAGTAATATATAGTTGCTGCTAGACGTTAAACATGTATCCACCCATCAAGCTTTGCTTAATGATTTATATCATATTGTTCTTCAGCAACATCGATACTTGGAGAATTTTAGACAGCACCATAGCACAAAAGCAAGAAGAAAACACATACGTATGTATTATATACAATGGAAGTTACTCCATATTGAAATTATTAAATAAACAAAATTTCTAGAGAAAAGATACAACAATGTTAAAGATATATGAGTAAAAGAAAGGGCGAAAGATACAAAAGGGACATTCAAACTCATAAGTCGAAAATAAACTGACAACACCATTGCTAAAAAAGAAAAAGACCAACTGACAAACAACAGTACACAAAACACAACATAGAAAAATAAAGACTGAGCAGCACGAACCCCACCAAAACCTGGGAATGATCTCAGGTGCTCCGGAAGGGTAAGAAGATCCTGCTCCACATCTGTCGTATTGCTCATGTTAGTACAAACCCGGTAATAAGTCTAATTCGGTAGGTGACATTCGGGGATAGAGAGACATTTGGAACATATCCGCTATCATCTGTGAAACGGTTAGTAATATCAAAATTAGCAGAGGTTTTCATATGTTTGTTTAGACCCATTTCCTAGTTCGACGAAAACAAAAGGACAAATAACATTTAAAAAATTACTACATAGAACATTTAAATAATGCCGAAATACTGTGGTTGATCTCAGGTACATCGGAACGGTCAGATTTCCTGCTCATTTAAAGAAAATTGTAGCTACATATGCCAATGAATTATAGACAGTGATAAGGACCATAACATGTCTAATCGGTAGCTAACTCCGATCCACCTCTTACACATTATCCAGTTCATAAATCATCGACAGATGTTAATAGCCGTTACAAATTAGACATTATCGAATGTTAGATATGGAACTTAAAATACAAGACGTTGTTTCGAGGATACTAAAACACCTACATATGAAATTTGAAAATAAAAACAAACAAGACTAGATTATATCAAAGGCAACATGAAGCCAACTAAATATATTGCAGTAAACTCAGTTGCTAGAAGAGTAAAAACACTTATCAAAAATAGTACTAATGACAACCATTGTGTTGCTCAAGACATGTACAAATCCTTTACTAAATCGGTTCGATGATATAAATACGATGAATTGAAACCGATATTGTTATAAAGACAAATGGGAGAATCCATGTTTATCTGGTTACTTAATTCTATTCAAACTATTTTATTTAAATATCGCTTACAATATTACATATAATACCAATCCTTTGAGTACAAATTTTTTTTAGGTCCAAAAAGTCAACTACAGAGATCATCATTAAGCATTTATGAGAGTGATGCTGACAGTTCAGGGAGTGAAATTTCACAAAGAAGTTGTCCAGAGCTGAGGGGAGGAGATCAAATAACTTACCACACCAAAAAGAAAAGACGAAAAAAAAAGCTTGAAGAAGAATATGATGGCAGAATTGATTCCGACTGGGATGATCGTGTCGAGGAGACAAGAAAGTGTTTAGATTGGAAACGCCAGAGTGACGAAAGCTTTACAGATTCACAAAACGATTCTGATTCAAATATTGTAAGTTCAAACAATTATTCAACAAGTGAGAATGAGGCTGACAGTGAAGATGATGAGGAATCTTTCTACGAAAAAAGCCGCGAGTTTTACAAAGAAAACAAAGATAGCACACACTTTGTTGAAACAGGATTTTTGCAGAATGGTTTACAATTATCCGAGCGATGTGTTGAGGCATTTATGTCAGAAAACATGAAAAAAGGTAAAAAGTTTGTAAAATTTTACAAAGAGTTAAAAAACCAAGACCAATCAACGAACATTCATCAGAGGGAAGGAAAGTCAAATCGACGTTGTATACTACAAATAGTATCATCTCATACGGCTAAATGTAAAGTCATTGAACCGATTGATAATATTGAAATAATAGAAATCTCTGGTCGATCCAAATGCGGAAAAAACTTACTCCGATGACGAAGTTCTTGTTAAAGTACTTAAAAAAGAGGGACAGAACGAGTTTATTCCGAGATGGAACAAAAGAATACAAACAGAATTGACAACATACGGGGAAGAAGTCGGATTGTTTAACCGCAAACGTTATAAGGATGTAGGTCACCCGGTATTGGTATGTGAACTCGACAATTATGACAACGACAAGGTGAAACCGATTTGTAAGACGGTGCCAAAAATTCAGTTGGTATCTGAAAAAGACTTAGGTCTTTTCGAGGTAGAGATCTTCACATACGACAAAAAGATGAAATCACTAGCACATAAAGACATCATGAAGATAAATCCATCTAAAAGAAAAGTTTTCATGTTCTTTGTGGTCATAATTGGCTGGAAATCTCTGTACCCATTAGGAGCAATTATTGAAGTACACAAATCTTCAGAGAATTTTAAATCCGGACTGAAAATCTTAGAACTACAATATTCAGTACCAACATTATATTCTAAAGGTACAATTGATGCAGTGGAGAAACTGCCTGAAGATTTATTGGATGTTAAAATTAAAAACAGGCTTGATTTAACTCAACTTCGAACTTTTACAATAGATCCCCCAAACTCTAAAGATTTAGATGATGCATTAAGTATAGAAACGTTGAAAAAAGGTTATAGAGTTGGCATTCATATTGCAGATGTTTCTGAGTATATCGACAAGAATGACAGTATTGACCTTGAAGCACAAACAAGAGCTACAACTTTTTATCCAGGTGGAGGAAAAAAGGCATACCAAATGTTACCAGAACCATTAACTAAGAAGTGCAGCCTTTTACCTGGAGAAAAAAGATTGACATTAAGCGTCTTTATACTGTTTGATAAAGAGTTTCACCTGTTACCCGTTCGATCGTTTGAAAAAACCACCATTAGATCACAACAACGATTCACGTATGCAAAGGTACAAGATATAATAGATAAACAGGTTGATTCTGAGTGGACACTTGAAATTAATTTGCTGCATGGAATCGCAAAGAAATTAAGACAAAAACGTTACGGGTGTGCAGTTTACGCGTTTCCTGTTGAAGTAGATGTTTATGATGAAACTGAATCCCAAATGAAAACACAAGAAGCGCATTACCTTGTAGAAGAATTCATGGTTTTAGCAAATTCGTCTGTTGCAGACGCCTTAATGATAAGGTTTCCGAAACATGTTCCTCTACGCTGTCAAGATCCACCAAACAATACTAAAATTCAGGAATGGTTGGAGTTATACCCTCAGATAAGTAATTTAATATTTCATTTACAGGAAAAACAGCCTATACAAAATCATAAACTAGCAATATCGAACATGGAAAATGAAAATGGATGTACAGTAAGGTACACAGCCGTTACCCGTTTTCAGAAATGGGTTTGGGAAAAACTTCTAAAGAGAATAGAGAACGGAAATTTCACAGAGGCTTTCAAAATATTTGGTCAAGACGAAAATCATCCATTTCAGTCTATAGCGTTGGACGAATGGTATTCTTTTCAAGAAACTGCTGAGTATAGATGTTCAGGGAAAACATCTGGATTAGAGAGTAAACATTTTTCTCTTCCTACATTTTCCGGCTATGTACATTTCACATCACCAATCAGGCGATATGTTGACATAATAGTACATCGCTTATTACATGCTGTAAAAGATGGCACGGAATCCCCATATTCAAGCGAGGAAGTAGCTAAGCTATGTTTTTCCATTACAAAAAAGGGACATTTAGCTAAAACGTTTTCAAAGAAATGCAGAGCTCTTTACTTTGCAAATAAAATCGTACGCGAGCCAGTTATGTTGCATGGGTTTGTAAGGGAAATTAAAGATAGAGATTTAGAACTTCTATTTCCTGGTCTTCGTCATTTGCCTTCCGTTAGCAAAAGACTTCCATACAACTTGCTTTATGTGTGCGCACTGCCAAAACCGGTGAAAAATCAAGATGATTTACACTCTGAAGTTGAAAGACAAATGATTGAACTGAAGTGGGAAAGAAGAATATATTCCAAAACAGAAAAGCCACCTCGTCCAAAAAGCAAATTGAGAGGATATTTGCGTACACCTGATGATAAAGGCGGGCCTTATCAAAGAGTAGATCCACACCAGCGAACGGAATTTCAACAGCTTGCGAAATGGATGGGATTAATAAATGTGATGTGTAAAGACAAAAAACCAACTGAAATGAAAAATATACTCAGAAACATGTCTATTGCTAATATTTTTAGATTTATACCTACAACATTTTACACCGAACTTGATGTAAACTCCGAAAGAGAGAGAGAAGACACACAAGAAAATGAAGCGAGTGAGCTTTCAGATGATCAACGTCAGATAAAGTCAATAATAAACGATCAACTTTGCAAATATTCAATGTCATTTAGTCATGGACAAGTACTTGCAGTACAAATGGGCACAGAGTTTGAAAAAGGAATTATGCTGCCAAAGCCACAGATGTTTAATATGACAGGAAATGTCAAGTACTGTCTTCAACATGCAAGTGACCCTGTTAGATGCTTTGAAAGATACTCTACCACTAAGTCTAAAGACAGATATGATTCAGAAACTGACTACATGCAAATTTGGCTACAAATAGTAAGGATGGAAACTGCGATGTCAGCTTCAAGGGAATCCCCTATTGTAATAAATGATCTTCCAATAAGCTTTGAGTCTCGTGGAGGACATTTTACACTTTTTACGTTATTCTGCGAGGAAAGAAATATTGATTTACATTCAATGTCAGTCGATAAGTCACATACTCAAGAAGAGCTGATTCCAGATGAGAATGAAAATAAAACGGAATATGTATCCTGCTCTGATTACCTTTGTATAAAATGTCCAATTTCAAGGAAAACCAATACTTTCTTTGAGCCAAAGCAAAACACATGTCCTTTTGATTTTAGGTACTGGTTGTCCCATGCAAAAATTGATAAAACAAAAACAGTGAAAAAGAATACGCCAGAGGAGAGAATAAACGTTCATTTTTCCTTGGTTCCATCTGCTCCAAGTGCTCCAGAACACCTTATAGATGTTGACAAGAAATTCAGATGTTCAATCGATTTAATACAGAAATCGGAGTTGGATAAGTAAGTCTAATTGCACGAGATATCTTTTGGAAGATGTGTATATAAAAAATTTATATACTAGTAGTTTAAAGTTGGTACAGATAAAATATATCTAAAAACAAATTAATTAATTGAAATAAACGTTCATAATTCATTCTTCCCGGGACTTTTCAGTTAATATTCTCTTCTTGGTTTATAATGCTTTTTATTTTTTGTTAAAAACCTTGATAAAATGTTTTTCTTGTTCTTTTCTATAGAAGTCGTTTTTATTTTGACATAATATAATGACATGATTTGAAATTTACTTCGGCCACACTCAAATAGTGCCTTTCTATAAATTCCGTTCGTCAACCAACAATTACATAATGAAAAGATCTATTTCGTGACATTGCGAGTACAGGATTTAAATGCCTCTCTCTCTCCATTCTCATTTTGGTGATTACATATTAACTTATTTCACATGTTGAGAAACGTCTTTGGTAACTACTTTAACGTATAAGTTACAAAATTGATGATTATATAAAAAATGTTTATCTTACCATTCTTTCGGTTTTTATTCATTTGAGAATATAATATATAGATATAAAATAACACTGCTTCAAGTTGATCGGAATTTATATTTAAGCATGATTATTCATTGATTAAAGGAAAAATAATTTTAGTGTGATACAAAGGAATTTTGATATTTACGTCAATGTGTCACAATCCAAAAAAGTCTATCTTATATCGTTGGTGTTATTTTTTTCACACACGAAGCAGTAATATCGTCCGTAATCTTTTGTACAACATTATTAACATAGTTTTACTGTATTTGTTTTTGAAAAATTCCATTAAACATTTTGTGAAGCAATGGTTTCAAAATTAATGAATTGTGAACTAAGCTTCTTAAAATATTCGGCAGTTCTATACATCAATAAAGCTTTTTTATTTTGACTTAAAAAACATTAATGCATTATTTCGAGAGTTATTGTTCAGTGTATTTTAACATTTGTTGCAGTTAATCATATTTTTCAGATTTTGTAAGCATGATTTTTTGTCATATTGTATACTTTGGTCTTGTAGGAGAATTGAAGTATATATCGGTAGATTAGCAGAAGCGTCCACGTTAGCCAAATGTATAGCGATGAATACAAAAATCCCACGTTTAAGTAAGTTTGCAACCATTCAAAGATACCCATCACAATACAGAGAAGGCAATTAGAAACCACAAGCTAATTGAAAACAATCAACACCCATGTCCAATGGAAAAAAGACGAACAACAAACTGAACATGTAGTGTATACTCTTATATCTTACAGTTAGGGTTTGTTTTTGCTTGTGAGAGAGCTGTGGCCTACACTTCATTATAATCAGATTAATATGACTTCCGTAACCCTTTCGTAGAGATGACTTTACTTTTACGGCCCCTTGGTTCATTGCTTCCTAGTAAACAGCAACCGTTTATCAGGAAAAATACTAATAGGAATATAAAGTTTGAACTATCTAGAAAGATACAGTTTTAATTTCAGTAGTCTCAACAACTTTTTCTTGACATGATTTACGTTCTCGGCATGATTGAAGGTAAGCTAAATTTTAAGTACCATTATGTGCCGATATAAACTGAAATTATTTAAGAAATATTGATCAGCATGGAAAAAAAATTAACCGCGACAAATTTAGAATAGACATACGTTATGTCATATTCTCAATTTTTGAAAGTTGGACTTATCGTGGTGATGCATCACATCAAGCGGTTTAGCTCCTTTTGGAGTTCATGTGCGATACCATCAGATTTTGTTGGTTTACTTGATGTGTATCTTCTTAATTGATTTATGTGATTTGGATATCGGTAAACTACGGTCTACTATATGTCTTTGTCCCAAAGATGGCTAATACAAAGGCGACCACATCCGGGTGTGGCAATAATCATACATAATGCATAAGTGCCTGTCAATTGTCGTTTTGATTATCGTTAAAATTTTAGGGTATTTTACGGAATAAGAAGACTGGAATGTAGGCTTACTCGGCGAAATGTTCAAAGTCACAAATACAAAAAAAAAATATTTGTGAACGAATTACAGTACCGACCTGTAAGTTTCAAAGCCGTTTAGCTTTTTTCCATATCTTCAGGTTTAAACAGTTTGATGAATTTAGGTATATTAGTCAACACCTGTTTAATTTAGCAAATATTTTTTTTTATAGACAAAGCCCACATAGAATCGATCGCAGAGTACGACGTCCCCAAAGGCGTAATAGCTTCGAACAATGACATGCAACGTAAAGCCATTGAGAAGGCTTTGACCTCAACATTCAGTTTGATTCACGGACCGCCAGGTAATGTCAGTTTCATTATATAATATTATGAAATTTCTTTTCAGTTTTATGGCTGTTATTATTCTAAAGTAAACAACTCAACGTTAAACTTCAATGTAATATCATTAGATAACAAATTTATTTTGTCCCCAATGAGACACTCAAGAAAACAAGAAAATGTATATGTTATCGTGTTACCTACAACAAGTTATACAAACAATAGAAATTTGGGTTTCGAATGGAAAGAGTAACTACAATATTAATGAATTTACAATGCTTTTCAAAGTCGGTATAGGCATTTCACCGTATATTGAAATGTAGATTTTCATTTTTTAGTTTTTCTGCAGGTGCACGTTTGGTCTTAAGTATTTGTAATGAATTAACATATCCAGAGAAAGATCGGAGCTAGAAAGTATTTTTGTTGATCTTTTAACAAGTCATTTGATTTAAGGGTATCATAAAAATTTGTCACAAAGACCGTGAAATAATTTGACTTGAACTAAGTTTTAACATACTTATGAAATACTTTCATAACATTGCACTTTTACAATACACAATGGACTTTAACAGGCTTTAACAGGCTGTTTTCTGCTCTTTGGTCGGGTTGTTGTCTCTTTTATTCTCCGTTTCCATTCTCATTTCTATTGATAAATTATTCCATCCATTTGTTGAAGGAACGGGCAAGACTTATACTGGTTTGAAGCTAATTTATTTGTTTGATCGAATAAATAAATCCATCAGAGAAAATGACGGCACAAGAAAGCAGATTCTGTTTTGTGGACCTTCCAACAAGTCAGTTGATTTAGTTGCAAGTAAGTAGAAATTTTAAAACCACTTCTCTCATTTTAACATTATATTTTAATAGAATAACTCTAACCAAAACGACTTTTTGGTTTCATTTAAACATTTCAGGATTAACGCCGTCATTTGTACTGCCGATGTAACTGTTATATTTACCACTTGACATATAACAACAGTGAAGGAATTCGATGATGTTACGCGTTTTTATTGAAAATTGAATAAAACCCCGCCTAAAATTTAACAAAAGCCTTATTAAAATTTTATCTATACCCCTCAAATTCTATTCATTAGTACTATATTCAAATTATAACAACGAACAATCAAATAATATACCGAATTCGCCATTTTGACCATTTCATTTGATTTGATTTTTGGTGTTTTAACGCCACTTTTAAGCACCGCTTTTGGGCTATTTCGTGGCGGCCAGTTTTTATTGGTGGAGGAAGCCGGAGTACCCGGAGAAAACCACCGACCTTCGATAGGAAAACTGACAATCCTAGTCAATTAAGATTGGAGTCGAGTGCACCCGCACGAGCGGGGTTCGAACTCACAACCTCAGTGTTGACTGGCTAGTGATTACAGTAGTAACTACTTAAACCACTCGGCCACCGAGGCCCCTTGACCATTTCAGTTTCTTGAACTATTTATTCTAATAAACCACAATATTATTGTAAAATATCCGAGTGTAATTTTTCTGTTTGTAATGTACAAACATTTTTTGCTGTACAAAATCAAAATACAACACTATAAATTTCAAGGAAATGAGATCTTAAACGGTAAAATTAAAAGCAAATCTCTAAGTGAAATATATTTTTCTCTAATTTTCCTTATTGAATAATGTTAATGTTAAATAATAACATAATAATTCAACTGAGGTAAACACGGGTAGATGCACGGGTTATGTTCCTCTCATATATTTTATGATGGTATGATACTAAACCCCTAACGGGATGGATTGTGCTTGATTTTCATATGATGAAGACGTAATCTTTCAATCAGTTTAATTGAGGTCTGGAGCTGGCATGTCAGTAACTGCTAGTAGTCCTTTGTTAATTTATGTATCATTGTCATTTTGTATAGTTTCTTTTGTTACCTATTCTGACATCGGACTCGGGCTTCTTTTAAACTGAGTTTTACTGTTGTTATTGCTGTGTGTTTGTTTTTTCTACATTGGCTAGAGGTATAGGGAGAGGGTTGAGATCTCCAAAAACATGTTTAACCCGGCCGCATTTTTGCGCCTGTCCCAAGTCAGGAGCCTCTGTGGCCTTTGTTAGTCTTGTATGATTTTTTATTTTAGTTTCTTTTATATATTTCGGAGTTTAGTATGACGTCCATTATTACTGAACTAGTACATTTTTCTCGCTGTATTGAAGACCCATTGGTGGCCTCGGCTGTTTCTGCTCTCTGGTCGGGTTGTTGTTTCTTTGACACATTCCCCATTTCCATTCTCAATTTTACAGAATAGGAGTGACACTCAATGGAAAATATTCGTTTTTGCCCGCTTGGATACTCTCCGTAACAGAAATTCAGCCAAGATTTGCATTGGAAAACAAATTATGGATAATATTGTGGAATTTTAGTGAATTCGATACTATATATTTTACGACGCAATAACGCCTGGCAAATACAAGCTGTTTATTAATAATGAGATATTTGGTATTCATTGTATTACTACAATTCCATTTTTTAAGAATTCTAGTATCAGTCGTGTAGGTAAGTTTTCAACTTTATTCAATATCGCGTTACATCCTTTAAAATTATTTCCATGGGTGAATACTTTTTAAGAAAATACCCATGGAAATATCCAAAGGGCAAAACGTCCAGATGAATAAAGATAAATAATAGAAAATAATGGAGAGTTCGAACAAAAGATTTACTTCACAGGTGTATTTTAAGTCGTGTTTAATGGAGTTCCCCCTTTTTGAATTTACCTTAGAAATCGGTTTTTCAGTTAATGCATTTTTCCAATAGAAACCGGGTGATGAATCTTATTTGGTAGGTCACATTCGAGGAATAGAAGACGAGTTGTTGTTAGGAAAATTGGGACATATCCGTCGTCATCTGCGAAACAGATATACAATAATAGTCCACCAACTCCTAATGGCGTCCGTAAAATTCTCTAAAAATAAGTATAGATGGCCCTCAACATCGACTTTAAGCATTAATAATAATCGACTCATTTAACTAGCGTCTTTGAAAGGACACATGCAGGAGAGAACAATGAACTGGATACAATTCATCATTCTCAGAGGGACATATAACTATTTATATTGCAAATTAGACATAATCAATATTAAAAGGAAAAAAAAAAGAAAAAAAAAAGACGAAAGATATCAAAGGGACAATCGAAATTCATAAGTCGTACAGAAACCGATAGCATCAGGACAAACACGATATATAACGTCTACATAACACTACATAGAACACTATAAAGACTGAGAAAAAAGAACCCCATAACATTCGAGGATGATCTCAGATACTCCGGAAGGGTAAGCGGATCCTGTTCTACATTTGGCACCCGATTTGATGTAAAAATATATCGGAATGAGATTCAAAATAATCAGAACACTAACGTTTTTTTGTATTTCTACAACTCTTTCAAAAATGTTTATTATAATTGGTTCTTATTTATTAAATTTCTGACTAAGAAATACCATGATAGATCATTTGGTATCCAGGTTAACGAGTACGAACTGTGCAAATGTAGCTTTCAGCTTAAAACTCTATATTTCATGTACTTCATAATAATTATTGAAAATATTTTTTTTTCTTTTCCAGAACTATTTCAAAAATATTTCAAGGATCATTCATTAGATTTTGCCAGATACTACGGTGGGTCCATGGAGAACCATGACTATCCTATTCCTGGAAGAGTATATTCAGGAAGGGCTGGATCTAGAGACTCCATTCCTGATTCTAGTTTAAAACCGGTTTCAATTCATCACTTAATAAGGAATCCAGAAAAACCACATGCATACAAACTTTGTCAATACGAAGAAACATTTAGGAAGAAGCCAAATCAAATTAATGCAGAAAAAGTAAAAGAATATACAAAACTGTTAACTCTTGCAACAATTGAAGAAATAAGTCAACACGACATCATTTTCTGCACAACAGCTATGGCTACAAACAAGAGGCTGATAGAAGGAACAAAGAACAGAATATTTCAGTGTATTATTGATGAAGCTGGTATGTGTACAGAGCCTGAATGTATAGCAACTATAATTGCAACCAAGGGAGAGCAAGTTGTACTAATTGGTGATCATAAACAACTCCAACCAGTTATCTTATGCCAATCAACGGCTAAACTAGGATTAGATAAATCTTTATTTCAGCGCTATTCTGATAGATCGGTTCAGTTGAAAGATCAATACAGAATGGTAATATCACTCAAATGTTATAAATGTTTTTAAAGAAATCCTCATAGTCCTTGTATTTTAAAAAAAAATGGTGATACTTTGATAAGTGTTTGGTATTACTATAAATTTTCACTTCTTCGTACTATGAACATCAAAATTATTTATTTTGTAAAAATATTTCCTTTCTCCATTTCAACTGTACACGTATACCTAACAACAAAATTATTTTCATTTACCTGTGTTTAAAGTAATTGCAAATGGCAGATATTTTTGTTCAAGCATATTGTTTTTCTTAAATTGTTTAACATTTCACAGCGGTATAACATGTTACTTTAATTATTCTTCCCTTAGTTTATTTATTTTGTATTTACATTGTATCATAGATCAAATTTATTTGTTCAGTGTATGTTCACTGGTGGTAATATGTCTTTTGATTGAGTTAAGCCATTCCAATTGATATTTAAAGTGTGTCTTTCTATTTTGTGATGTTACACTATTGTTTCAGATAAGGGTGAAGGTTTGGTACCATTAAAACGTTTAAACCCGCTGCAACTATTTGCACCTATCCTAAGTCAGGAATCTGATGTTCAGTCGTTGTCGTTTGTTGATGTGGTTCATAAGTGTTTTTCGTTTCTCGTTTTTTATATAGATTAGACCGTTGGTTTTCCCGATTGAATGGTTTTACACTAGTAATTTTTGGGGCCCTTTATAGCTTGCTGTTCGGTGTGGGCCAAGGCTCCGTGTTGAAGACCGTACTTTGACCTATAATGGTTTACTTTTAGAAATTTGGACTTGGATGGAGAGTTGTCTCATTGGCACTCATACCACATCTTCTTATATCTATGCATGGAAAGAGTCGTTATTTAGCCTGTGAAGTTACTCATAATGGTGATTTACTATGCATATAATGATAAAGTTTTGTAAAATAATTTTATAATTGAACTTATTACTGCGACACCATTATGTGAATTCATATCGCAAAATTTGCTTTCAATGTATATTTTTTCGGATAAACTAAAATATGAGCAACATTCGTATCCCTTAGCATATTTTCCTCAAAAAATGTCTCGAAATGAAAAATCGTCAACATTAAAATCACTGCAGTATGGCTTTTGCTCATACCAATATATTACTTAGAATATCTCATTATTATTTAAATTATGATTGAATTTAGTTTGATGGCACTATGCTAACATAAACTTGTCAAAGAGCCATGATTAGTGTTACTATCTGAGACACAAAACAAGTATTGTAATACTTATAACTACGTGGCCAATTGTATTGCGGAAAACAGAAAAAAAAAAATTACAAATGTAGGATTCCATATGATTTTCGAAAAAAGGACAAAACTATAACTCTATCATACATTCGCCCTAACATATTATACAGCCTTTTTTTCAAGCAAAAAATTCTCAAATGTAATACTTAATACAAGAAAAACACAGTAACTATTTTAGTTTGTATGTCAAGTACAACGTTAAGATGTTTAGTTTTATATAACATTATCCGTCTTGATTATCATATATTATCCGTTTAAATACATTTGACGCACAAGGTATGCACATTTGAATCCATTCATATATTTTGAAATGTGTCGCTTACACTGTACAGGATTATCAACAATTCATTTTACTATTGTTATGTTTTGCAGCATCCAAGTATATGTAAATTTCCTTCAAAATGTTTTTATCAAGACAAATTAAGAACAATACAGTGCTCATCATGGGAGGAAAATCCGCCTCTTCACATATGGTTTCAACCCGAAAAGCGCCATGTTTTCTGTCATGTTGAGGGTGAAGAAATTACACTTCCTGTTAGTACTGAAGAGGGAAATGAAATGTCTCGAAGCAACAAGAAAGAAATTGAACAAATTGTAAGAAAATTGCTAGTAACGATTAAAAAAAATCTTTTATCTCATGATATATATTTTCTTTTTTATGCAATATTTTTTTTTTTAAATTTAAAATTTTTCAACTTTATTATTCTTTAAAAACATTAAGCATAAGAATGACATTTAAGCTGTACACACAAGCATTAACTTTGACTTGAAAGTTGAAATTATCATAGTCATATTAAAATATCATTGTAGATGAAGATATTTACACATCTAGTAAAAAAAGAAAAGATTTTTGGTGACCATAAGAAAAAGAAAGTTTGCACTGTGAATATTATGTCACAGTACAACGCTCAGTGTTCAGCTATACGTGAAGCATTAGGAGCATTAATATTGAGAGATATTGACTTAACAAACACCAGTGTCAACACAGTAGTTGGTAGTCAAGGTGAATATTGTTTTCATTTGTATAATCTGATGCTGACGCGGTGAATAAATAATTTAAAAATTATATAACACTGTATATTGAATCGATATAACATACTATTTTTAGCGAAATTTTAAAATATATTTTACCTTCAATCATTGATAGGGAGTGTAACACAAGTTAAGTGGTCATATTTCTACTACAAAATACCACTGGAATCATGGGATTTTGACTACAACATATAAAGGCAACAGTAGTATACCGCTGTTCAAAAGTCATAAATCGATTGAGAGAAAACAAATCCGGGTTACAAACCAAAACCGAGGAAAACACATCAACTATAAGAGGAATACAACGAAACAATAGAACAATGAAGTGCAAGAAAGAAAAAAAACGACAATGCAACATACATAGAAACGAACTGTTAGATAACAACTGCCATATTCCTGACTTGGTACAGGACATTTCAAGAAAAAAATATATCACCCATGTTTTATCATCCCTATAACAGTTGTTTTTCTGTGTTGTTTTTAAACGTTCGTTTCAACTGTTTGAAATATTTTACATGTTTGACATCTTAGTCTTTTTTATGTTGCACAAATGAATCGATGTCACGCTACAGATGAACATTTTTCTAAAATTTTTGAAATTTGAGGTCTAATTGTGAATTACATGCATTAGTTGACTTTTTTTGTTAATTTCTTTTGTCCATGTAAAATATCATTATCACGTGAATATTAAGTTACCTTGCCCGGTTTAGTTTCGAAATGTGTTGACTTTTCAGGCCCTTTCAATTTAGAGATATCATGTATAGTCTAAACTTTTAAATTTACTTTCTGTCAACATTTATAACATTTAAATACATTTTGAAGCCATTTTGTTAATATATTAATAATTTGTACATTGTTTTTTTAATATCCTATACAGTTTCAGAAATATTTATTGCAATATTTTATATAGAACGGAATAAATTCATTTGTTGTCAACATTGTTTATTTTTTTCAATCAGTAGAACTAGGTTTACTATTGTAATTTTTGTAATTGTACATGTATATATAAACTGTTGCATATCATGTTATGGGATAACAAGCATACCATAAATCTTTATTACAAACAATAACGAAAAACATATAGTCCAGATATGTTGACTTGGTAAATGTATGTTCAGAAAATGTAGAGAGGTATTTATATTATTTAAATTATCACCTTCTTTTCAGGTTGATACAATAAACCGTAGATAGAAGGGTCAATTGCACTAATCCATAAACACCTAAATGTAAAAAATATTGTTCATAGCAATTTTATCCATGCATTATCTGTTGGAAACTTATTATTTGATTTTAATAGTTTTCGATACAGCGCTTGCAATAAATACACTACCTAAAATGTTTGCCAACAATGAAGTTAAAGGTCAAATTGTAAAATCATTCAGGTTTTTTTTCTTATTTACACTCTTCGAAATTCCAAGTTAACTCATTGTTTTCGGCGTATTATCGTATGAATAAAGCAAATATCGGGAAAAGTTACGAGACTGTTTTGTAAAATGAAATCAAAGGAAATAAATTCAATCTCTATAACTTTCTTTTTTTAAACAATTTTGAGTCCATTGACCAATCAATGATTTCTTTTTTAAATCCAATATATATTCACTTCATGTCCATAAAAAGCTGATTTCATAACGTAATTATTCCTCTTTTCAGGTGGACAATGGGATTACGTGATTTTCAGTCTTGTGAGATCCTTACCACAGTACAGAATAGAGCCACATCCGACACTTGGATGGTGCACACAGAATCTTGGATTTATAACAGATGAACATCAAATAAATGTTGCCCTAACACGAGCCAAGAAGGGATTGTTTATAATTGGTAAATGCATAGAAAGGGTAAAGGTGGTGTAAATGCAAACGAGACAAATATCCTCAAACGTTCATTGATTCTAACACCTAAAAAACAAAGTACGGCCTTTATTAATGAGCAAAACTAATACTGTATTTAGAGTTTGTTTACAATCATTCCTTTACATACAGATGGGTGAGGTCATGTAAAAAATGAAAATATTCCGCAGATTGATTAACTGTTAAAGTTAACTTGATTATTTTGGAACAGAAACGCACCTATACCAGTAACAGAAAAAAGTAAAATAACAAAAAACTAAACCTCAAGGGAAATTCAAAACAAAAAGTCATTTATAAAATGGCAAAATCAAAAGCTCAAATACATCTAACGAAAGGAAAACAACTGCCATATTCCAGACTTGGTAAAGGCATTTCCGTATGTAGAAAATGGTTGATTAAACCTAGTTTTATAGCTAGATATACCTCTCACTTGGATGTCAGTCGCATAAAATTCGATTATATTTACAACAATGCAAACCATTTCAAAAGTGGGGCGTTTGTTTGACTGTGCGGCAAGTACAAGTATACGCAGCCACGTTCAGTCAGAATGGGGACGCCTAATCGGATGCCTCGTGCAGAGATAGTGCCAGAGAGACCAGGCCTACCTCTGTGTTTAGGACTTTTCTATTTCTGTTGGCATGTCTGCTCCAAACACGACCTGTGGGCAGGTTTGCATTTTACCAGTCTTTACTGCAGGTTTGTCTCAGACCAGATTTGTCAGTGTTTCTAATTTTTTGTCTAGAAAGGTCTACTGCTAAACAGAACTGGGTCTAGATGCACAATTCATTTCAGGTAGGCGACAATGGTAGCCTATCCTCAATTTCTCTGCCCATATCGTAAACTTGAATATGTATGATAGCTCGTTTCGAAGTTAAGACGTTTTCACAATTGTGGTTAAATTTGCGGGGTACGAAGTGTGATTCATTTTTCACGTAATTTAGGATTTTTCTGGTAAAAAATGCCTTTTTTTAAACATATAAAATTCTTTGAAAATTTAGTTTCTTGCATACATTTAATAATTTATTAGTTTTTACACCTTTATTCTATGGTGCTCTGCACTTTAAATCAGCACAAATGGTTAAGCTCAGTCACTTTTTCAAAATTGAAAAGTGTCCAATATCACTGCACAGAGATATTTGTTAACGCACTACTTTTGTGTTCCTCACATTTAAGCGCATTAGGGATATTGTCCCAAATGTAGAAAGGTGTGCTTTTACCGGTCCTCGGTCTAAAAGAGGGGCGAAAGATACCAGAAGGACAGTCAAACTCATAGATCAAAAATAAACTGACAACGCCATGGCTAAAAAAGAAAAAGACAAATAGACAAATAATAGTACACAAGACACAACATAACATAAAGATTAAGCAACACGAACAGTGTAGCCCATATCTTATTTGAAAGACAAATCATAATATAAATATTTGTGTGCGGTATGTTAATAAGAACAGACATTTCCAGATATTTATTCAAACGAAAAAAAGCAGTCCTGAATGAGTTAATATAGAAATAAGGAGATGTGGTATGATTGCCAATGAAACAACTATCCATCAAAGTTCAAATGAAGTGGACGTAAGCAATTATAGGCAACCGTACGATCTTTAACAGTGAGAAAAACCAATACCATATGGTCGGCTATAAAAAGCCCCGACATGAAAAATATGAAACAATTTAATTGAGAAAACTAACGGCCTTATTTATAACAAAACAATTTACGAAAAACTAATATCATATACATTAACCAACGACAACCACTGAACTACAGGCTCCTGACTTGGACAGGTACATAAAGAATATTAGAAGAGGGGTTAAACATATTTGTGATCGCTCAACCCTCCCCTAACCAGGGACAGTGGTGTAACAGTACAAAATAAGAACAAACTATACAAATCAGTTGAAAAAGGCTTAACTCATCAGATGGATATAAATAGAAATACATCTAACAAAAACACAGAGCCCTTTTTAACTGATTTTTGTAGTTTGGTATTATGTTGTGCTGTAACAACACTGTCACAGGTTAGGGGAGCGTTGAGCGCTCACAAACATTTTTACCCCGCTACATTCTTTATTTGCCTGTCCCAAGTCAGGATCCTGTAGTTTAGAGGTTGTCGTTGCTTCATGTCTGTCAAATTTGTTTTTCGTATATTATTTTGTTTTAATTAGGCAGTCAGTCTCTCAAATAAATTGTTTCTTATTTTCATGTCGTGGCCTTTCATAGCCGACTATATGGTATGGGTTTTTCTCATTGTGAAGGCCATACGGTTGCCTATAGTTGCTTACATCCACTTCATTTGAACTTTGGTGGATAATGGTCTTCATTGGCAATCATATTACATCTTTTTTTTTACACTGAACACTTGTTAACTTTAATTTGAAGCAGAGCAGATCAAAACCAAAAAAAAAAAAAACAAAACCAAAAAAAAAAAAACTTCAGTCGCTGACCTGTAAAAAAGATACGGGACAAAAAGTTTGCTTTTATGGTAAATATAGACCTGCCAGAGAAGCTAAAACACTAGTTTCAAGTTTGTTGTAACCAATCAAAAAGTCTGGTCATAAATTATCTCGGTGTACATGCTATTTATGCACCCATCTGTATTTAATGAACATGAGTAATCAGTATCTGTTGATAGGCTCTGGTATGTCAAGATACTGAAAATCCTGGAAAATAGTAATTTCCACTAGTTAACTATAATAGTCAACCTGAGGATCTATTTCGCTTAAGTCATGATTTTGTTTTCTTTGTAGGTAACAGACATCTGTTAGAATGTGACCGTGTTTGGAGACAATTAATCAACATGTACGCTAGCCAAGGGAGTGTTGTGGAAGCTGATGATTTTCCTCGACCGATCCCGAAGCCAAACAAATGTAGACAATATGACGAAGACGGCTTTGAACTGGTTTACTCAAAACGATAATAGATGATTTCTTATTGCACACTGTGAATGTATCATCATTTATACTTAGATTAATCGTTTGCCGTTTTTAAAGAGTTAAAGAGAACAAACTTCATAGGACTAAAATTGTGATAATATAGTTCATACAATAAATATTAAGGCAATAAAACTTTACAGATATTCAAATCTCATAAATCGATAAAGAAGACAAATCCAGGTGAAAACTTAGGGAGCACATTAACTCCGAAAGGAAGGAAACCGGGTGCGTGGGCATGTAGCGTCACCTGCCATGTAAATCCACACTCAGTCAAAATGGTACAATCGGGAACAAGACACCACAGTCACTCAGTCAAAATGTCACAATCGGGAAAAGAACACAATCGGTAAAATTACAGATACGACAACTATTGTGCTTTCTGAAGATCTAAGACTGTGAAAACATGTCGGTAGTAGGTTAAGACACAGAAATATCGCATCAGTCAACCAGTTCACGATGATTACCGTAAAAAATATGTCGTGTTTATTCCAGACATTCGTCCTTGCAACTTGTATTATCGGTTTTTGCGTAAGCAGCAACCTCACAGTTAACGATTAGAAAGTTGAAATCATCACATTAGTTTGCAGTTGTAAATCTGTGACAATATTGAGGAAAATATTCAGACATGAAGATACCTTCTAGTTAAGGGAGTATTCTTTATCTCCAATTCACTCGGATATCTGAATTGTAAGAATAACATATTTCAAGTGACTTTATTCTTAGTCATTCGCTTATATTTCCGGTTTTGTGTTGTTTTTGTGTTGTTTTTTTTTTTTTTGCGATGTTAGTTTTTCTTCGAATTATATGTTTTTACTGCGTGTTCCGCCTTATATTAATGACATATTAGAAATTGCTAGTTACATTTTTGGCTGTATATTGGAATAATATTTGATATCCATGTCAGTTCAGTTAGAAAATTTTATGAAGATTATAATGATAAATCGTAGAATGTTCACTTTATTTCATCTCGTGATTTTAAAACTTGCATATGCAAACATAAAATGGAAAATGGAAACGGGGAATGTGTCAAAGAGACAAAAACTCGACCAAGGAGCAGAAAACAGCTCAAGTCCAACAATGGGTCTTCAACACAGCAAGAAGATCCCGCACTCGGAGGCCGCATTTAGCTGGCCCCTAAACAAAAATGTATAGTGGTTCAGAGGAAATGGACGTCACAGTAAACTCCGAAACATATAAATGAACCAAAATTTAAAAAAAACCATACAAGACTAAGAAAAGCCAGAGTTTCCTGACTTGAAACAGGCGCAAAAATGAAGCGTGGTTAAATATGTTTTGTGAGATCTCAACCCTCCCCTTATACCTCTCGCTAATGTAGAATAAACATACACACAGCAATACGCACAATAAAACTCAGTTTAAAAGAAGGCAGAGTCCCATGTTAGAATAAGTAACAAAAGAAACTAAGCAAAAAGACAATGATCAACATGAATTAACAAAGGACTACAAGCAATTACTGACATGTCAGCTCCAGAGCTCTATTAAACTGATGGAAAGATTATGTCATCATCATATGAAAATCAAGCACAATCCCTCCCGTTGGGGGTTTAGTATCATAGCCTCATAAACTATACCAGAAAAACATAACCCGTATCATGCCAACAACTTGTTTTAGAATAGATGCGTTTATTTCAGATGCAAATGAATGAACAAGTAAATTTTACAATGTAATATTAAGGCCGTGTTCACGTCAACGTTACGTATTGTAAACCTGTTGAGAATTAGGCCTTGTTCACGTCAAACTTCGCGTACTGTAAGCAGTTTAGAATAAAATCGTGTTAACGTCAAACGTTGCATACTGTAAGCTTGTTTAGAATAAGTTTCATGTAATAAGCACTAGTTCCACATCTGATTTGTTTCCATCTTCACATTAGTTTCAATTACATGTTCATGAGAATTGTCCAAACGAGTAAACCAGAAGTTATTCAAATTCCATTATTTGTTTAAATTCACCTTTCATGTCACTGTATTAATAGAATGAATTGAATTTGTATTCTGTAGCAGTTTTGCACAGACCAATGTGTCTAGTTTGTGTCTGTGGAGGGTGTGGGTATAAGAAAAATGATTTGATATCAACTTTATCTTGTTTCAGAAGATAACATTTCGATTAAAATCCAAGAGAAAATAAATGCAACATCGAGGTTCTTAAAAATATTTGTCTGTTAGTGATTTGTTTTTATTAAAGTTGAAAAAATGTGTTGGTCCACTCAATTCGAATGACATTTTCGGTTTAGTAAGGCTTTTCAAACCATTTTTTTTAATAACTGAGTTATATTTTTTGAGTTTGCAAAAACAATTGGTATAAAAATTAATTCATATAATCATTATATACAAAATATATTTCGTCCATAAATATTCATAATAAAATTCATGTTTTGAATGTTTAGTTTTATATACACTTATCCAACACTAGGCCTTCATTCACTATCGACCACGTAATGGAAACCTGATTTAAACTATTTTTTATTGGAACGTAGTAGAGTTTAGTTTACGTATTGAGGAAACCTACACCACAACGAGTGTAACTCAATATAAGTACATTTAATTTAAATTTTCTTTACATAGAAGTCGAATTTGGATCTGTATCAGTTAGGCACAAACCAATTTATATGTTGTTGTTGTTGGTGTAGTGGTGGAAAGAGGGGTAGATAAATTATTTTCAAACCAAATTTCTATCAAAAAATGCTTATTTGTTTAATGAGGAAAGTGAACAAATTGTTGATCCCGTTGAAAATTAGGGGTCAATCTGTCACGAAAACTGTTCTAATGAGTTGGAGTACTTTGATAGTTGTTAAGATGTCACGATTTCCCAGGTTACAACAATGTTATATTTGGCAAAAAAAAGTTGACATGTTCAGGTTATTTCAGCAGTGATTTTATGTCCTCCCATATTGACGTTTTCCTGCACACACTACTAGTATTCAATTGTTTCTGCATAAAATTCAGTTACCATGAATTTATGAATTCCCGAGTTTCTGTGTGAGTCCACTCCATTCGGGAAGATTTGTTCAAGTGAATGATATGTATAATGACTGCTTTGTGTTTAAATTGAGTTAAAAAAGTAAAAAAGAAACAATTAATGATGCATGTGTTTGCTGTAATTATCAGCACCAGATCAGACGACATCTAATTATTCATCGAGATGACGTACGAAGATTACTGACGGTCATATCACCCTATATAAACATGAATATTAATATAAATAGGTAGCGAGCATGTGCAATAGGATTTTTCTAGGTCTATTTGATTTGATGTTATAGGTTAAAAACATTATGTAAATCATCGTTTTACCTGCATAAGTATGATTTTTTTGTGAGCCAGATCAGTCAATGAAATGGTTATTCCTAGTGTCTCCCCATATACAGGCAAATTTTTTTCACGTGAATTTAATGTGAAATTCACGTGAGCAAAATTTGGCTGTGTATATAATGAATAAACATGCTGTCCACAAAATGCTGAATACATGCACAATCCATCTCCTCTGAAAGTCAAATTAATGGTAACATGAATACGGATTCAAATGAGTTGAATTATTGACAGTGATGTTTTATGAGCTTATTTTCATGAATTTTGACCAAACTGACTGCTTATAGCTAAATATTGTTCTTTATTTTGCTTTTATAGATGTTTGAAACAAAAACAAATCATATTTTATTGTTTGGCCGAATTTGTAGCTAAGCCCCTTTGATAATTTAAGATGATGAAAGAAAATGAAGAAAAGTTGTTCAGACGCTTGAAAGTTATAAAGTATTGTATTTTTGTTTTTTGTTTTTTCGTATTATAAAAGGAATTAGAGCTTAGCATGATGGAGATATACCCCTCACTTTTAGATGATTAGCATAATTTTCTTGCAGAAAATTTCAATAAAACAACTTTCTGTATTTTCCTGCCAGTACCAGCGTACTAGCTACAGGGCTGGTGATACCTTCGGGAATTTACAGGCCATAAGCAGACGTATCGACGTGATAGTAATAACATTAACAGTACCAATTTTACTGCACTAGATACGCATTTTGACAATAAATGTCTCTTCAGTTACACTTGGGTCAAAAATATTTCAAAATCCAAAACTTTAAAAAAAATTATGGGCTGATAAAACCAAAAAGGACAAAAGGTATAGTCAGAGCCAGGCAATTTTATCAAGTCTATTAGATGAACCTATTTATGTTACAGTAAACAAAATAGGAAATACAAGATCTAGCAAAATGTATATCACAGAGTGTTGCCCATAAATAATACGTTTGACTAATTTCTGAATTTATTTGAAACAAAACTTAACGACAAAAGAGATGATTTTAGCTTCCCAATTGTAAAATTTCCATTTCTATGTAGCAACATTCAAGCAGCGCCTGTATACGGAGTATATATCTCTCAGTTGATACAATACTCCAGGGCTTGTATTTCCTATCATGGTTTCCTTGATAGAGGGTTGCTGCTCACAAGGAAGTTATTAAACCAAGAGTTCCAAGCAGTGATGTTGAAATCATCCCTTCGTAAATTTTACTGAGGTCATCACAAGTTGGTTGACAGATTACGGAATATCTGTTTCACAGATGATAGCGGATATGTTCCAATTGTCGTAACTACAATCCGGTCCCATTTTCTCCGAATGTGACCTACCGAACTAGACTTATTAGCGGATTTGTACTAACATGAGCAACACGACGGGTGCCACAGCAATATGTGTTAGCAATACAAGATCTACAAAATGAAATTAACTATATAAATGTCGTGCGTCCAAACGCATTTATGGATTCCTGTTCATCAGTATTAAGATAAGGAGATATGGAATGATTGCCAATGAGACAACTATCAAATGAAGTGGATTTTAGCAATTACAGGCAAACACAATGAAAAAAAAACCCATACCGTACAATCGGCTATAAAATGTGAAACTATTCAAACGCGTGAACTAATGGTCAAATTTATAATAAAACAATTTATGAAAAACAAATATGACAGACATGAACCAACGACAACCACTCAACCCTAAACATTTGACAGCCCAAGATGTATAACATCAATACACATCAAGAGCTACCTATATGACCAATAGGGACATAAAATATCCAAATGCATCTAATGGTTAATAAGCTCATCATAGATATCAGGATTATAATGTGTATGGCAGACGCGTGTTTCGGCTATAAAAGACTCACAAGTGACAATCTGTTACACCTCAATATTTAATTAAAAAGACAACATCGAGTTCATATACAATATTTATATATTGCAAACATGTAACCAACTTTTCACATCGAGCAACAACCTTAAAACTGACCACAATATACATTAAACGTGTCGTTATCTTTGAATGTTAAACATATTGAAATAACCATAAACTTTAAGTATTCTACAGAGGCGACTTTATGGCCATGGATAAACAGCACTAATTAATTGTGACAGTTCCATAGAGTTCATTAGAATGTGACGAAAATATTTAAGATAACAGGTGCCACGGTCAAAGTTCTTGTAATGTCTATTACAAATAATATCCTTTTTACAAACTCTAATCAAAAAAGTAAAAGACGCCAAATAAAAGAGCATTGGGAACCAAAACTTCAACTTTGCTCGAGGTAGTTGAAAGTTAGTTGCTCAAACAGTTCTGTATCTATTGACAGGATTTGTTTTCGTAAAATTATGTTTTAAATCATGTCAGCACAGCAGCATTGGCTTCTGAGCTGGTATACCCATGGGTTAGAACAGTCTAACAGCAGAGGTATCGACCCAGTGCTAGAAGATGAAAATAAGTATTAAATTGATGTGCGTCCGATGCGTTTTTATGGATTTACACTCATCAGGGACGCTTAAACCTAAACCATAATTAGAAAAATATGTTGTTAATTATATCAGTTTTGAAGCATAGACTACCGAGACGATGATTTCATCGGGGACTAAAAGTCCACCAGCAGAGATATGTTCACAGTGCCAGTAAATGAAAA